CGCTTGAACCATAGCACCACTTCTGGCTTTTTCTGTGTATGTGATACTGAAGAATTGAACCCAAGGCATCATGAATGCTAGGCAAGCACTCTACCACTAAAGCCATATTCCCAGCCCTAGATGATATATTTAAAATGCAGCTCTTACCATCATACCCATACCACAGAGCACTCATGATTCTCATCTACAAGGTCTTTAAGGAGTACAGAATTCTGGTATCTTTTTTAAAAATCACACATAGCTAACATGGCCCACACTTAGAAAAATAAAAAGTTAAAATACGACCCTACAGTTAGAGAGGCCAAGGTTTCAATCTCTATTCTGGCAATTATTAATACAATGACTGTGGCAACTTTCGTCCTATCCTTACTTATCAGTCCTATCAATACAATGAGAATAAAATCATATGTATGATGAAAACCATTAGTCACTAAAACTATATTAGACACTAAAAATAATATCCCTTTCTAATGAAAAATAAAACAAGAAGCCTATGTTCATGTAAATAACATTTGTTATAAAAACCAATTATCAAAATTTTTTAAAATGATTAGTAATCAGATAACACTGTGCTCGGCACGGTAACTACTGACTATAATCCCATTCTGACTATAATCTTATATTGGCAAGATAAAAATCAGGAGGTTCTCAGTTCAAAGCCAGTCAGGGCAAAGAGCTAGTGAGACATGAATCTAAACAGAAAAAGGTGGGTGAGGTGACTCATGTCTATAATTAACCACATAGAAGGAAGTAACAAGACTAGTGTCAGAGAATAGCCCTAAAAAAAAAAAAAAAGTGAGATTTTTATCTGAAAAATAGCTAAAAAGCAAAAAGAGGCTGGGGTGGAAAGCATTGAGGAAGTGGTAGAGTATCTGCCTACCAAGCATGAGGCCCTGTTTCAAACCTCAATACCACCAAAAAAAACAAAACAAAAAAACATCAGTATCATCTTCTTCTACTGTTGGAAATCATACACTCTGAATCTTTTACCTATGCACAGTTTTATAATGTAATTCATTACTAATTTGGAAAATAATCAACTCACTGAGTTAATACTAATCTTCCAAACTTAAATATTATATATGATCCAAAAATCACATTAGTATGTCTACAATCAGATCAGAAAATGTAAGTATATAGAAACTGTCAAATTCATGGCAGTAGATATACATTTTTCATAATCTGAATTTCTGTTGGAAAGCTCAAACTTTATCATTTGTTAGTATTTGTTGCCTGAAGTATCAAGCACACTGTCATTCATTTTCATAAAAATTGTCAAATTTCCAAGTCAATGTAACCATTGTTCAAGTAAAAATGTTTGATGAAAAAAGCAGTCTATTCAACCCTAAGAGCAAGAATTTTTTCTTGAGAAAACCTCTATGCTTTGGCATACCACAGAAGCATTATTTACCTTTTGGCTTTGATCCTTTTTCGGGGGATGGGGGTGGGAGTTCGGAGGATCAGTCATGAGGCTTGATCTCAGGGCCCAGGTGCTGTCCTAGAGCTCTTTTGTTTAAGGTTAGCCCTCTACCACTTGGAGCCATGGCTCTACTTCAAAGGCTTTTTGTTGTTTGAGGCTTTGTTTTTTTTCTTTTTTGATACTGAGGATCAAACCCAGGATGTTGCACTTGCTGGGCAAGTGCTCTGCCACTAAGCTACATCGCAGCCCAAATATATATATATATATATATATATATATATATATATGTGTGTGTGTGTGTGTATATATATATATATATATATATATATATATATATATATATATATATCATGTGGTACCAAAGAATTGAACCCAGTGCCTCATGCATGCTAGGCATAGGCATGCATTTTACCATTAAGGCACATCCCAGCCTGATCCTTCTTAAAAATGTTCATGACCAAAAAGTAAAAAGAAGACTCTGACAACTGCTCATGAAACTTTTATCTTTCTGTGAGAACCTTCCTCTAAGGTCTCTCCTCATTATGCACGTGTAAACAGAATTTTTCTGAATATGTTATTGTAACAAAACATAATAAAATTGGAAAGATTTCATATCTCATTTCCAAGTCTGCACTCTTGCAATTCTCCTAGGTACAGTTCAGCACCCTAGTTTCCATTAAGAGCTAGCCTAAGATCTTTTCATTAACACTAACACTATGGACATGACTAACATGCCTCTTTTAACAATCTCCTTCCTGAAATATATAAAAACCAGACATTAAACTTGATGCATGAGGGGCTGGGAAGTTGGATCAGTGGTAGAGTGCTTGCCTTGCATGCATGAGGCCCTGGGTTTGATTCCTCAGCACCACATAAGCAGAAAAAAGCTGGAAGTGGTGCTGTGGTTCAAGGCATACGCCTTGAGCTGAAGAGCTGAGGGACAGTGTAGAGCCCAGAGTTCAGTCCCCACACCGACACACAAAAAAGGATTATAAACTTGATGCATGATACTATCTACATAAACAGCATGTAACATTGTCCTGTATTTTTGTGTGTATATGTATGAAGGCTTTAGTAAAGATTTATTTTACTATAAAAGGAGAAAGTAGGAAGAAATGGGAGAAAGAAACACTTCCTGTTCTCTATACAGGATGTGGGAGGAAAAGACTCCTTATATCCCAATATTAAGTGTGTGTGTGTGTCTGTGTGTGTCTGTGTGTGTACACTGATACTAGGGCTTGAACTCACTTGCGTATTAGCTTTTTCATTCACGACTAGTGCTCTATACTTGATTTAAACTAAACACCTCCACTTCCAGTTTTTTGTTGGCTAACTGGAGATAAGATTACCTCAATTTGAGACACAAGCCTAGCTTTGAACTGGCATTCTCAGCTCTCAGCAATTAAGTAGCAAGGACTATACAGTGAGTTAACAGTGCCTGGACCTATAATTCTTTTTACGTGTCATTTAAAGAAAAAAAGATAAAATCCTTAGCTGTTAAGATACATTTACTCCCAGAAGTAACATACATGAATTATTCAAAGATTTTATTATACATAAATATATAAGGACTTTTAAAAACCCAAAGTATTATCACATCAAAATATGCATTAATTCCTTATCACTAAATTCCCATTTAGTTTAAATAAAGCTAACTAAACAAACATAGAAGTCACATAATACAAGGCACTTATGACAGACAAATGTGAATCTCTGGCACCATCTGGTGCTTAAACACCATATAGCATTCAACAGCCATTCAAATATCCTGGTAAGTTGTCAAGAAGGGAGGATTTTCTTGTTAAAAGATTCACAAACAACAAAAATTAAGTTAATCAGATAGGCTTAAGAGGGGGAAAAAGTAAGTATGTGTTACTATTTTATTAAACCTGATCCAGTTTACTCAAACAAGGCCTAATGGGGGCTAGGAAGGTAGCTCAGTGGTAGAGTGCTTGCCTTGCATGCATGGGGCCCTGGGTTCCATTCCTCAGCACCACATAAGCATAAAAAGCCGGAACTAGTGCTGTGGCTCAAGTGGTAGAGTGCTAGCCTTGAGCTAAAGAGCTGGGGGACAGCACCCAGGCCCAGAGTTCAAGCCCCATAAACGGCCAAAATAAATAAATATATAAATAAATAAGCAAGGACTAATGCCACGTCCTGTTCATTTTTTTCTTATTTAACAAAAGTCAACATTAGAGTCTATTTTTTAGTTTCAATTTAACAACTGAATGAAGATTCAGAAAAACAAACCTGAATTTTAAGTAGGTTAACACTACAAAAGATACACATTGGAAGTGGCGCTGTGGCTCAAGTGGTAGAGCGCTAAACTTGAGCTGAAGAGCTGAGGGACAGCGCCCAGGCCCAGAGTTCAAGACGCACGATGGACAAAAAAATAAAAGATAGTCGGATACTGGTGGCTCACGCCTGTAATTCTAGCTACTCAGGAGGCTGAGATCTGAGGTTTGCGGTTCAAAGCCAGCCCTGGCAGGAAAGTCCGTGAGACTCCTATCTCCAATAAACCATTCAGAAAATCGGAAGTGGCGCTATGGCTCAGGTGGTAGAATGATAGCCTTGAGCTGAAGAGCTCAGGGACTGTACCTAGGCCCAGAGTTCAAGCCCCACAACCAAAGGAAAAAAAAAAAAAGGTATGCATAAAACAACTTGATCCAAATTCCTACAAGTATGGATCCTACAATATGGATTTATATTACCATAATATTAGCATAATATTTCCTTTAAGTAGCTAACATTTTATATACTCTTGTTCTTAAGATTTTAAGAAGCCAACTAAATAAAAGCAAAAACACTTGTTCTTATTTTCAAAATTCATTACTTCAACAAATATTTGGGTGTTTAATAAAAACATGTAATAATAGTCAACAGTTATTATCAACTCTCATAAATATTAAAAGTAGGTAGAAAATAAACAGAAGGACACAAAAATAAGACAATTAGAACAAATGAATTGAGAGCAGACATGCCTGAAGCTACTTTACATTCTTTAGCCAGGCAAAGCCTCTCCTAAAAGGTAAGTGGGAAATGTAAAGGAACACAATCATGTGAAGAATGAGGAACAGAGTTCAGCAAACTTCACTTCTACAACTATACAGGGGGAACATGAATGTGAATGCAAATGAGAACAGGTCTTAAATATCATAAAATGCCTTCCAAAATAGGGTGACTTTCCAATTTTCCTATGTATATTTTCTACACTGAATATGCATCTATTCTTCATCTTTTCTGTTATCTACCTTACTGATTCTAATGAATATAATCATTATAGATGAGAGCTTTCACATAAGTCCATTCTCCTCCCAAATTAACCTAATCACATAGTCTCTCTACAAAATTTCCAAGAAACTTCTATGCCAATTCTAGAATTCATGCACAGTGAAAAATAAAATACCAAGATACTTTTGATTTATGAGAATTCATGATATAAAGTATGAAAATAAACCATGATATTGTACCAACTGAACACATTGTAATTTGAACATAAAAATGAAAATATTGGGAAGTCCCGCCTTCGGAAAAGGAAAGAGCGGCAGGCCGGCGTGCTGACTGTGACCGGGACGACTGAGCGGGAACTTGAAAATTGAGATTCAACACTGATTGTAACCATGGGTTCCTCAGTATCTACTCCTGCTGTTACTGTTCACATCCCAGACACTCCAGAGCAGCCAGCATCACCACCTTCAGGATGCCCAATGCAGCAAAAGAAAGGTTGCCCACTGAAAGCAGCAACATCTGATCCAGGCTGTGAGAGCAAAGTGTACTCTGTGCCTGCCCACCAAGAACGTGCCTATGAGTACGTGGAGTATCCGGTTACTGGAGCTGGAGCTAAGAATAAGGAGAACCTGGATCCTTCCAATCTGATGCCACCACCTAATCAAACACCAGCCCCAGATCAGCCGTTTACACTGTCTACCCTCAGAGAGGAGTCATCCATCCCAAGAGCGGATTCAGAGAAAAAGTGGGTTTATCCTTCTGAACAGATGTTCTGGAATGCAATGTTACGCAAAGGGTGGAGGTGGAAGGATGAGGATATTAGTCAGAAGGATATGTACAATATCATTAAGATTCATAATCAGAATAACGAGCAGACTTGGAAGGAAATTTTGAAGTGGGAAGCTCTTCATGCTCATGAGTGTCCTTGTGGACCATCGTTGGTCCGATTTGGAGGTAAAGCAAGAGAATATTCTCCAAGAGCAAGAATTCGTTCCTGGATGGGATATGAATTACCTTTCGACAGGCATGATTGGATCATCAACCGTTGTGGAACCGAAGTTAGATATGTGATTGATTACTACGATGGAGGCGAGGTCAACAAGGACTACCAGTTTACAGTCCTAGATGTGCGTCCTGCTTTCGATTCGCTCTCTGCAGTATGGGATAGAATGAAGGTTGCTTGGTGGCGCTGGACTTCATAACTACCAGTTGGTTTGTGATGAAAAAAACGTTAATATTTTTTTTCAGAGAGATAAGTTATTTTACCAAACTGAATTGCACTCATGATGTCACAGGATTTTAAGTGGTAATCATACCTGATCTTCCACTTACTGAAGGATGCCATGTTGCATTAACTTTTGAGTCACCTTGGCCTTGCAGTTTATAAGCAAATCATTTTAAGTTTTCTTCCCATTTCAAATGGGAAGCAGTCCCTGCGTTTTTTATTTTAATTGTGGTATTTCCTGTGTATTTTAGTGAACAGCCTCTGACAAAGAGCTTTTACAAAACTGATGACCATTGACTGCTTGTAGCTTACTATTTTCTCAGAAATACTTGGGATGTGAGGCCTGAAAGTCACTGTGCTATAACCTGGTTAACTAGATTAATTCAAAGTCTCCATGATAAATAAGAAGTATCTATGCTTTTTAAGAAGGTGACAGTATTTCTAAAGTCCCTATAATCTAGTAGTGACTCTGTACACTATACAGAAATGCACCCAGAAGACTAGCTTTCCAAATTCTCATTTAGATGAAATTTTTAGACAGGACCTCGTTAAAGAAGTTTCATTTCACTATGAGGTGATTACATATGCTTCAGAGCATTAAGTTTTCAAATAGTTTTTCTTTGATTTTGATGGTTCTAAAATATAATTGCTCCCCCAGAAGAGCTCTCATTGTCCTTGACACTTGGCACATTATCCCAACTTTTGAGTCCCACCCCCACCCTCAGTCTTCCTCCCATTTGTCCTAATCCAAACTTTGAAAGCTTAGCTTTCACTATGACAGTGATGCTCCCTTCTCTAACACATGGTTATATTTAGCTGTTAAATTTACAACAGTATTTTTCTCATCAATTCGCTGTTCATTTTTTTCTTATGTTAAGAAAGCTCTAAGTTTGCTGTTGAAATGCCTTATATCAAGAATCCATAAACTGCTTGGTCTTAGCATGTTACAAATTCCTGTTGTTTCTTGAAAGTGTAGATGATAAATCTTTTCATTTTCCTGATACTGTAGAGTTAAATGAGTGGAAGGAGTTGGCAGTATGAGTGATTAATTTAGTATGGATTTCTTTGTTGTTTCAGTTTTGTGTGATGTTTAAGAAAATCCAACAATCTTAAACTCTACATGTTAAAATATTTGTATATTTTTAAATAAAGCTGCTAGTTAAGAAAAAAAATGAAAATATTATTTAAATAAAATGCTCCTTTATGTAAATGGGAACTTACTAATATAAAGGTGGTATTTCAAATCAGAAAGATAATTAATTTTTCAGAAAGTACTGTCTCACACACACACACACACACATTCATGCACACGCGTGCACACAAACACACACCACACACACCACACACACAAATTAACATACACTTAAAAATGAATCACAAGAATGTAAAGCAAGTCTTATCCTGGTATGGGTACTAGTGGATGGGCGGGAAGGGGGGGTGTAAACAGAGAGAGGGAGAGGATTAAGAGGATTAAAATTACATTATGTATAGTGTAAAAATGTAATAATGAAGCTTGTTTAGATTTATTTGGGAAGGGAGATGGATTCAATGTTACCTTGATCAGACTAATCCCATTCATCTCTTGAAAGAAACCCCTTCTTATAACTAATTGACATTAATTGAAAATGTGGCAAGAAATGAGAAAAAAAATCAATTTGGGAAAAAGCTAAGCTAAAAAACTAAAAATATAAAGAAAAATCTGGTAAATATGTACAGAAAATCTTTGGTAGAAAACATAGGAGCATATATATCATAATGGGCTTGTACAAGCACTTCTAATTTCTTAGAATAGAAGCTGCAAGGAAAAAACTAGTAAAAATCCCCTATATGAAATACTAAAAGCAGCTAAGTTAAACAAAAGATTGGGAAATTGTTATGCACGCACGCACGCGCGCGCACACGCGCACACACACACACACACACACACACACACACACGTAGGTCTCACAAAAAAAAAACCCTGCTTGCTGCAATATATACGTTAAGTCTAGAAAGCAATAAGCACTTAAGATAAATGAGCAAAAGTAATAAGCTAGAAATTTCCCAGAGAAAATACAGTAGTAATGGTGACACTTTTGCTCCCGGCAGTAAGTGGACTAGATTTACTGAAGAGCAATTACACAATGCCTAACTAGACCAACCTAACACATTTTCATTCCATTGTTGGGTTCACAGAATCTGTCAAAAAAAAGTGTCAGGAAAAACAGCAATGAGTATATCTTAAAGGAGGATTTTGCCCTAAAGATGGAATTTCCTTAGGGACAAATGGCTAAAACTAACATTAGTTCTTGGGTCTCTGATACTGGGGAAACTGTATCTGAGACTTTGGGGTAAAAAAAAAAAATGGGGCTAAAAGTGTTTTTTAGTCAAAAGTCACGCCCAATCTTTAGCACAAGGTGACATGAATTCTCTTGAATAAAGAAAATTCGATTTACAGTCTAATTTGATTTACCCATACAGTTAAGTTTTAATTCAACTAGTTTTCACTTTCAAATTCTTATTTTTTCAAATCTATGTTCATTTTGACGTATGATTATTGCTTTCTCATCTTTTATCCAAGATTTTGCTTGAAGATTATTTTATACTAGTTTTTTAAAATGTACCATTTGAATATCAAATGACTGAAGTCACTGGAATTCCAAACTTGTTTCCCTGTAGTTTTGACTTAGGATAAATTTTCTTGTATATTTATCTTTTAAAGTGAGCACATACATGAATATCAAAAAATAATTACATATTTTATACATCGAAAGTCCTCTCAGTCAATCTATAATTCTAATTTCATCGCTAATATCAATGTTTATATAATTACATACATGAATGTTTATGTTAAGCTAAAATAGTCTAAGCTAAAAACAGAAAGAACCTAAGATCATTGGTAGATGATAAAAACTGCACTTTCACATATTAGTAACAAAAGTCAAGACATATGCAGCAAAAACTAAACAATCTATATAAATTATAATACTTTGGATTATAATAATTTGGATACATGAAGACATAAATCATGTTCACAGAAGGTCAAATTTTTAAAGAGGCCAGCTGAAGAAAATAGACCTATTAACTAAAGGCTATGTCAATCCAAACAAATATTATTGGTAGAATTCAATGAGTTGATAGTCAAAATTATAAGGAACAGCAAAACCCTAAGTAGAGTCAAGGAAATCAGGAAGAGAAAAGAGGTATGAGAAATAGGAAAAGGACAGGAAGTAGAGGCATCTAGGAGTGATAGTGAACACCTGTAATCTCAGAATTTAGGAGGCTGAGGAAAGAGGCTGCAGCCTGTGGATATAGAGTTCCTCAATAGAATCCTGACACTATAAAAAACAAAGTAAAATTTAAAAAACAGACAACAAAGGTCATTATATTTAAGACTTTCTGAAGGATATCTTAAGTCTTGAGTAGTACTCTCCATAAAAGAAATTACCAGGGGCTGGGAAGGTGGCTCAGTGGTAGAGTGCTTGCCTTGCATGCATAAGGCTCTGGGTGGTAGAGTGCTTGCCTTGCATGCATGAGGCCCTGGGTTCGATTCCTCAGCACCACATAAGCAAAAAGAAAAAAAGCCGGAAGTGGTGATGTGGCTTAAGTGGTAGAGTGCTAGCCTTGAGCTGAAGAGCTGAGGGACAGTGCCCAGGCCCAGAGTTCAGGCCCCAGGACCGGACCCAAAAAAAAAAAAGAAATTACCAGATTCCGCTGTTTAAAAATTAAAAGTTCTCTTCATCAAAACACATCACTCAGGCTGGGTTCATACCCATATTTCTAGCTACTTTGGAGGATCTCAGTTTGAAGCCAGCTTAGGTAGAAATGTATGCTAGACTTCATCTTCACATACATATATATACACACACAGACACATATATATGCACATACATACAGAAAGTGAATTGCAAATCAGTAACTCCAATAGAGACTTGAACACAAAAATTCACTAATAATTACCTCATGGTTTCTGATTCTGTTCTCACATCAATAGCTTCTTTTTTTTTAAGCATGAAAAGCTGATACAACCAGAACAACTATTTTTAAAAGTCTATTTGAAGGCATCAGAAAGATACCAAGGGAGACAGATCTTGGGCGGGGGGACCCACAGTCCTGTGAGCAGAGAACCTTGCTGAGGTATCCCCACTTTCTCTATTTTGTTCTTTTTCCTTGGGCATGTGCTAGTTCTTGATGTGGAACAAGACACTAAACTGCCACAGAGACAGCAGCTGCTAAGATGCAGAAAAGCCAACAAAGCATTAGGCAACCTCATGAAGATAGAAAGTTGGGAGTTCCAGGATCCCACAGCTTCAGGGTGGGGCTTGATCCTATAAAGATGGGAAGCATTTGCCACCAAAGCTCTGCAGAAGAAAAATCAAAAGAAGCCAAGCAGGGAAATAGTGAACTAGGAAACTAAAAATAGAGGCTGACAATCCAGCAGAGAAGTGCTGTACATGTTAGCTTAAAACCTTAAGGGACTACCTCCTGAGGTAGGAAAACCAAAGTTACAAGGAGTCTTAGAAAGGTTACTTAACAGTTTGGTTTCCACTCTCAGACTAGATTGAGGTGACTGCTAATCTGCTGCCCTCAAGGATACTGGATGAATTCTTTCTGAAGGGAATTAATTCAAAAGTCCTACATTTTCCTCATGTTCTCCTCTGACACTGTATAAGTAAACCAAACTCCCAAGTAGTCTGAGCATTAGAAATACAAGGCAGTATCTAGGCACATAAGCAGCTGTAGTCCTAGCTCCATATGAGACAGAGATAGGGGATCCTGGATTGAGGCCAGCTAGGGCAAAAAGTAAGTTCTCACAACTCCATCTTAAACCAATGCCTAGGCATGGTAACACATGTCTACTATCTAAGCTATAGGAAGGCACAATGCATACACCTGTCATCCCTAGTGACACAGGGAGGCAAAGTAGGAGACCACAGCTCAGGCCAGCCAGAGCATAAACCAAGTCTGTTAACACAAAAGTAACCAATATAGCCAGGGGCTGTGACTCATACCGATAATCCTAGCTACTCAGGAGACTGAGTTCTAAGGATCACAGTTAAAAGCCAGCCCAAGAAGAAAAAGCATGTGACACTCTTATCTCCACTAAATCACCAAAATGGAGCAAGGACTTAAGAGGTAGAGCTCCAGCCCTGAACAAAAAAAGATGAAAGAACCCAGATGCAGAATTCCCCAGGGACTAGCATGTTATGTAAGCACACACATACATACATGCATATACATACATGTATACACACATACACACATACTAATATCCAATGCAAAGAGGGGGTTGGTAGAATGGCTCAGTGCCTATCCCCAGTAGCCAAAAAAAAAAAAAAAAGGCACTGACTTTAAAATAATTATATACTTGGGGCTGGGAAGGTGGCTCAGTGGTAGAGCACTGGCCTTGCATCCATGAGGCCCTGGGTTAGATTCCTCAGCACCACATAAGCAAAAAGAAAAAAGCCGGAAGTGGTGCTATGGCTTAAGTGGTAGAGTGCTAGCCTTGAGCTGAAGAGCTGAGGGACAGCGTCCAGGCCCAGAGTTCAGGCCCCACGACCGGACCCAAAATAAATAATAATAGTAATTTTACTCATTCACATAGAGGAAAAGATACACAATTATATTACCGGCTGTAATACAATTTGTGGGTTTGTTTATTGACATATTTCTAGTAGGATATGCCAGAACAACTATTTTTAAGTCTAGTTAAAGCTGGGCACTGGCAGTTCCTACCTATAAAATTCTAGCTATTCTGGAGGCTGAGATGATCTGAGCTGAGGATCATAGTTCAAAGCCAGTCTGTGAAGGAAATCAATGAGACTCTTATAGCTAATTAGCCAGCAAAAAGCCAGAGGTAAAGCTGTGGTTCAAGTGGTAGAGCACTAGCCTTAAGTGAAAAAGCTCAGGGAATGGTGACCTAACCCTAAGTTCAAACCCCAGGACAAACACACACACACACTCTCTCTCTCTCTCTCTCTCTCTCTCTATTTTAAAGTGTAGAAAAATCAACAAAAGTATTAGAAAAATAAGGAAATCCACAATCAGCATTAGAGATTATTTTAAAAACACCTAGTCTGAGTAACAGAACAAGGCCAAGAAAAAACAAAAAAGAGCCAGAATGTAGAACACATCTACATCCTGTACTAGCTTCAGGAGCATTTAACCTAACATTTACAAAAACCTACTCCCCCTAAACTATTTGATTACAAATATTTAAAATATTGAAACCAAGACAAAACAACAACAGCTTTGGCATAACCTGAACAAAAAGAATAGCTAAACTTCAAATTTTCTAGAAATGAAAAGAAAAATTCAAGTGAAAAATTCTCTTAACCTATGGAGACTGAACTCATCCTCATAGCCCACACCAAGCTGTCTCAAGGACTATGGTAAGTGAAATGGAAGATCTCAGTAGAGTTAATAGTGAGCATAAAGGTGAAATATACTATCAATGAAAACTAAGTACCAGAAGTGGTGTGTGGCTCAAATGGTAGAGCACTCACCTTGAGCTGAAGAGCACAGGGACAGAGCCCAAGCCCAGAGTTCAAGCCCCACGACCGACAAAAAAAAAAAAAAGAAAAAAGAAAAGAAAACTAAGTACATCCCAAGACATTAACTAAGTACATCCCAAGACATTAAATGGTGCCTTGAAAGATCAAACATAGGAGCATGTAACTTACATTAGCAAAACTCTGAATTTGTTTTCTTCCAGACTGGTGGGGCATACCTGTATCAGCTATGTGGGAGGCAGAAAAATGAGCATTGGAAGTTTAAAGCCAGCTTGGGCAAAGGTAGCAAGATCTTACTCAGAACCAGATTTTTTAAATGAAAGGGCTGGAGTATGTCTCAAGAGGTTATATAAGTTTAATCCCTAGTATTAAAAAAAAAAATCCCTAATACTAAAAAAAGGGGGGCGGGATTTAGAGTACCACAAGAGAGAAAAGAATGAACCATGATTTAATTGACTATGAATAAAATTTGCCTCTGATGCTGGGTTTTGGGGAACATGCCTATAACCCAGGTACTGGAGAAGCTAAGGCAAAATGATTATGAGTTCCAGGCCAGCCTGAGCTATATCGTGAGACACTGTCTCAAAAATAAACTATGTCCATGCTAAATATGTACAGAATTTTGTTCTTGTCATTATTCCCTAAACAATATAGAAGAACTATTTACACATTATTTCAACTATACTAGGTATTTAAAAACTATGGGAGGAATTTAAAATATGTATTTGAATATATATTAAATATATATGCTCAGATTTTATATAAATATTATACCATTTTATGTAGAGAATTTGAACATAAATAAACTTTGGTATCTGAGAGAAAATCCTGGAAACAATTCTTAGATATACATTTTCCCTACAATAAAAGTTTAATAAGGCACTGTAAGAGATTAACAAGAATAATAAAATAGAACAATTGTAGCAATACTCTGTAGTGTTATGTGAATGCGGTCTTTTTTTAATTCTCTCAAAACATTTTATTGTCCTGTGCTCACTCTTCCAGTGAGGATGCTGAATAACAGAATTTCTATAAATTAAGTGAATGATGTAGGCATTGCAATGTAGCACTAAGCCACCACATAAGATCTACCTGAACATTACTATACTAGCCAATTCAATAACCAAGACAACTAAGTGACTCATGAGTGGAAATGCTAAACAAAGGTAAGATCACTTCCTGAGCAAGATGGCAAAATACTTGATCATGCTATTCAGAACAACACACATATGAATTTTTTTCTAGGATTTTCCATTTAATATTTTCAGAACACTATTGAATGCAGTAATTGAAACCACAGAAAGCAAAACTGAAGGGGATCCACTCCATTCATGTGAAGTTCAAGAACAGACAAAAACAATCCATAGTAATGGATATAAGAACAGTGACTGCCACAGGCAGGGGATAAGGGTAATTGATTTTAAAGGTGTATAAAGGTGATGGATATGCTGAGTATCTTGATTTGGATTGTGATTACATAGGTATGCCTTCCAAAATACGTAAAGCAGACCAGTTAAGATTTGTGCGCTTTTTTCTTTATAAATCATACTCAATAAAATATTTTAAAGCCCTCAATACATCAGATTTCTTTTAGTCTTCTCCTTAAAAATTACTTCCTTAAATCAGATCCAGTTTCAACATTTTTTTTCTTATTTACCTGAAGCATACGGTCCCATTTTCTCTTATTTTGTTTTTTGGACTAGTAGATGCTTGAAGCGAAAGAATTTTATTTCCAGGCAGCGTAATTTGCTTTAAAATGGAAGCTATTAAAAAAAAAAAAGGGAAATGAAAAAAAGCAGAATACAAGAAAGCAATCATGTCATATTAAGAAAAATTCAAGAAAACAGTTAAAATATGTAGAATAATCTAAGAAAATGTCAAGCTCCCACAAAACAATGCTTAAATTCAAACTGGACAATGAATGTATTTCCTGCAAAAGAAATCATAAAGATTTTCTTATTTTCATTATATGTGGTCTCAAATTGCCTGTAGAATTAGCATCATGATTCACTGAAAAATCAAGTTAAGTTAATGTCTATATTGGTATATTTTAAAAACATATAAAATGATGGGCACTGGTGGCTCATGCCTGTAATCCTAGCTACTCAAGATCCTGAGACCTAAGATTGTGGTTCAAAGCCAGAGTGGGCAGGGAAGACCATGAGACTCTTATCTCCAATTAACCATCAGAAAACCAAAAGTGGTGCTGTGGCTCAAATGGTAGAGCGCTAGCCTTGGGCTGAAGAACTAAGGGGCGGACAGCACCCAGGAACAGAGTTCAAGCCCCATGACCGACAAAAAAAAAAAAAAAGTGTGTGTATATCTATATCTGTGACACATATTATCTGTAAAAAACTGACTTCCTGCCGGGCACCAGTAGCTCACGCCTGTAATCCTAGCTACTCAGGAGGCTGAGATCTGAGGATCGCAGTTCAAAGCCAGCCTGGGCAGGAAAGTCTGTGAAACTCTTATCTCCAATAAACCACTCAGAAAACCGGAAGTGGTGCTATAGCTCAAGTGGTAGAGCGTTCGCCTTGAGCTGAAGAGTTAAGGGACAGCACTCAGGCCCAGAGTTCAAGCCCCACAACTGACAAAAAAAAAAAAACTGACTTCCAAAGGAAAAAAAGCTACCTTCTAAAAAGAAAGTAAGTTTAAAAGGTTAAAAATACTACTTATTTACTAGGGTTTCTTTAAATATAGGATATCATGAGTAGTTGTTTTTTTTTTGGAGGGGGGCGGTAGGGGGAGGCCAGCCATAGGGCTGGCCATAGGACAGAGCCATAGGCTCTGTCCCTGAACTTCTTTTGTTCAAGGCTAGTGCTCTATCACTTGAGCCACAGTGCCACTTCTGGCCTTTTCTAAGTAACTTACTGAAAATAAAGAGTCTCATGGAGTTTCCTGCCCAGTCTAGCTTCAAACTGCAAATCCTCAGATCTCAGCCTCCTGAGATCTGGCTGAGCAGTGGCTTTAAAAAAAAAATGATTTATTTAGGGTTAGACATCTCATAGCCCTAAAAAGTATTTATATATGTACAAAAAATTTAGTAAATAGTCCTTCCAGACCTCTCTTAAGCACAAACTAAAATACCCAATCTCTTTGCTCATAATACAACAAACTTGGGTAAAACTCTACTATGTTCCAAACCTAGTGGAAGTAGAATGATAGCATGGGTTAAGCATGCACATGAAGAAAACTTACTAGTAGGCATTATGGTGTTTACCGGCATCTTCTTCTGTCCTGGTTTCTGAATGGTCAATGCTGTGGGATGGGAAATTTTGGTCACTTGTTTATTAGCAAGGGTTCCGGAAGGCTGCTGGACTACCTAAAACCATGAAATCAATCAGTACTGTTATTAAAAAAAAAAAAAAAAAAAAAAAAACCTGTTTTAGGAAAATGTAGGTGAGCACTCATCTACCTGTAAGTATCTTTATCTTACCATAACAAGAATGCTTACTTTAAATTTGTATATAGCAAAATTATCTTGCTCAAAATGAAAAAATCTATCTCACATATACTTTCAGAGCGGAACTGAAATTTACAGAACTCTCCACAGAGACTATATTTTTAGTTTTTTAACATCATGGAAAATTTCAAAACATATACAGGATTAAATGAAACCATATATACCATTACCCAGATTAAAGTGAGTAATTCCAGGATAGTCATGTTTCCTCTATTCCTATAACCACTTCTCTGTCATTCCCACTTATTTTAAACAAATCCTGGATATATTTTTGTATCTATAAACATTTCAAAATACACTTTTTTTTTGGTCGTGGGGATTGGAAGCTGTCCCTCAGCTCTTCAGCTCAAGGCTAGTGCTGTACCACTTGAGCTGTACCACTTGAGCCAAAGGGCCACTTCTGGTTTTCTGAGTGGTTTATTGGAGATAAGAGTCTCAGGGACTTTCCTGCCCGGTCTGGCTCTGGCTTTGAACCTCGATCCTCAGATCTCAGCTTCCTGAGTAGCTAGGATTAAAGACGTGAGCCACCAGCGCCCAGCTCAAAATACACTTCTAAAAGAACATTTTGGAACTGTTTTTTAAAAGTATCCTAAAACGGGGCTGGGAAGGTGGCTCAGTGGTAGAGCGCTTGCCTTGCATGCCTGAGGCCCTGGGTTCAATTCCTCAGCACCACATAAGAAAAAAGAAAAAAAAAGCTGGAAGTGGTGCCGTGGCTCAAGTGGTAGAGCGCTAGCCTTGAGCTGAAGAGCTGAGAGACAGCACCCAGGCCCAGAGTTCAGGCTCCACAACCAGACCCGCCCCCCCCCCCCCAAAAAAAGTATCCTAAAACCTTCAGAAAGTAATCAAAGCTAAAGGCAGTCTCCAGGATAAGTTCAAGAAATCCAATAAAGGTTAGGGACTAAAAAAAAAGAAAAATCAGCTGAGTACTGGTGACTCAATGCTCTTATCTAATCAGAAGGCTAACAAAAAGTTATCATTTATATAATAATCCTCTCCAAGGGCTGGGAAGGTGGCTCAGTGGTAGAGTGCTTGCCTTGCATGCATGAGGCCCTGGGTTCCATTCCTCAGCACCACATAAGCAGAAAAAAAAAGCCAGAACTGGTGCTGTGGTTCAAGTGGTAGAGCGCTAGCCTTGAGCTGAATCGCTGAGGGACAGCACCCAGGCCGAGTTCAGGCCCACAACCGGACCTAAAAAAAAAAAAAAATAATCTTCCCCAAAATATTTAACCAAAATTTAACCCTGAAGGTACCAAATGACAAAACAATAAAAAAACAGTTTGGGTACTAGAAACACTGCAATATATTGAAAAATCATGAAGAGATAGAAGACTTTTATACATTAAAAGAGCCAAAGAGTAATACACAGAAACAGGATCAAGGGTTGAGGGCATAGTTCAAGTGATACAGCCTTACCTAGAAAGGTAAAGACCCTGAGTTGAACCCTCTGCCCCCACCAAAATAAATAAATAAATAAAATAAAGGAAAAAGAAGTAAGATCAGGGGGAAAAAGCACTAAAAGAATATTATGTATGGGTGGGAAATACTGTAGCAATATTAATAATGACCCATGTATGAAAATTTGAGGGTGTTACAGTCACAATTTTTGCAACTAACTTTCAAATGATTCAGCAAAAATTGTATAGGTGCTTGTGCATGTGATTACAATGGAAGAAAGCAAAATCAGGCAAAAAATCTGGTAAAGAGTGTGCAGTCTTACCAGTCTCTTAACTAGGCTTGCTAGTTTTCTGAACATTTGAAATTTTCTGAATTGCAAGTAAATGAGAAAGAAATGAAAAGTTACTCACTAGCTGCTTGACTTTAACTGCCTGTGGAATACCAGTGGGTTGTGAAAGGAGAGGTCCTGGAGGGGCAAGTTTGATTTGAACTGGGGCACCAATGACAGGCTTATCAGGTGTGGTCCCAGCAGAAGTAACAACAGGTTTCACAGATGGAAGACAAAATGCTGCAGCTGAAGTTTCTCCAAAAGTCACAGATGGGAGAGCCAATGTTACTGCTGCACCTGAGACAACTGGCTTCTCAGGCTGAAGAGAGACTGATGTTACTGTATTTGGTATGGGTGTCACAAGTGGTTTTGAAGTTTGAAGCAAAACAGTTCCAGCTGTTGATCCTACCGTGACAGCAGCTGGACCTACAGAACGGATTGTCACCACCCCAGCTTTTGTTCCTCCTGGACCAGCAAGTGGATTCAGAGTTTGCACAGACACAGTTCCAGGTACTGTTGCTCCAGAAACAACGATGGGCTGTTCAGATTGGACTGAGGATACTGTAGTTGTCACCACAGGAGAAGTTGTTGCTGCTGTGGTACAGGTAGGAATAACAACCTCACCAGAAGTCTGCTGAATACACTGCTCAATAAAGCTTCGGGAGTTAGGCAGAAGCTGTCGTAAGGGAACTACACTTTTCTAAGAGGAAAAGAAAACACTGATATAAAATAGTTGCATAATAAAATGTTTTATTTCTTTACAACTTACAGAAAGTAGAACATTTAAATATTTCAGTCGAAAAATGCTTTTATTCTATGTACCACAATCTAAGATATTATCAATTTCTAGCCCAAAAAGGTTTTTCAATATGAAATTTGCTATTTCAACATTAACTTTATTTTGAATACCTCAATAAACACTTTTTTAATAAACCTTGTATTATACTTCTCTATATTCATCTAAACTCCATAATATATAACATAGGAGGTCTTTTTGCCAATAACTATAGGAAGTTTATACAAAAAGAGAAGGATCAGATCTAAAATAATATCCTCAAATAAGCTAGCATATTTTCTGATTGGATCTTAAGTCAGTGTCTATCTTCATATCCTGATGAAATACAAGTTCAAATGAAACACTAGTAGGTTTGGAGTTTTCATCCCTAGAGTTCTTGTTTTGTATTTTCTTTTAAAGACATAAAAAAAAAGATATTTGGTAGGTTAACTTCATCCACTATTTGGAAAGATTGTTGTGACACTTAAATTCAGATTGCCTATAAAGCTTATGTCTATAAAACATTTATAAAAAAATTTTCTTGGGGTTGGTATTTAGCTCAGTAGAAGAACACTTGCCTGGTGAGTGCAAGGCCCTTGAGTTTGGTCCTCAGCTCTGGGAGAAAAAAAATTTTTTTGTCTTAAGAAAAAAATAAAATGAAATTTACTTAAGAAGTAAGAATCCATTTTTACAATAAAATAACATTTTAAAATGCCAAAAAAGCAGCATGCACCCATAATCCTAGCTACTCAGGAGGCTGAAATTAAGGATCAAGGCTCAAAGCCAGCCTGGGCAACAAAGCCTGTGAGACACTTATCTCCAATTAGCCACCAAAAAAACAAAAGTAAAGCTGCGGCTCAAGTAGTAGACTGCTGCTACACTTGGGGCAAAGAAGCTTAGAAACAATCCTTGAAGTCAAGGATCCAGACAAGCACAAGGCAGAAAACAAATTGCTTTGGACATTCATGGGAAAAAAATATATAGGTTTAAACTTGAAATCTAGAGTGTATCTGCAGGGAAACAAAATGGAAAAGATGTTTTAAAAATTGAATATAAAATAGATAATGTGATTGTCTTGATTACTTGGCTAAAGTTAAAAGTGCAGAATCCCAAATCCCCATGTAACATCAATACCTCTTTTGTAAACTTTCAGGAATGAGGAATTTTTTTTTAACTCAAGGAAAAAAGAAAACTCTGATTACTAGGTCCTTAGAAAACAAGACACAAAGTAGAAATACATTATAGTAATATTTTGTAACTTTAAAGCAAGGTTATCTAGGAAGGAGATTCAGATACCTGAGTTTGATCAAGAGTCAGCCAATTCAAATGGAAAGTACTAATACCTATTATCAAAGAGTGATAGGACAATTAAAGGCAAAGAATGGATAGAGCAAAACGTCTGTTCTGTTTGGTTCTTCAGTATCCTTCAAAGATTTATGAATTGGACAATTGGTTCTTAGTGATACTACTGGAAATTTGAAGAGGTAAAGACTGCTCTTTGGATCATTGGGTCTGGTCTTAAAAAGAATTATGAATCCTGGTCTCTTCTTTCTCCTCTTTTAATTCCCAGGTGTGTCATGAACAGCATAATGCTTTGACACAGGCAAACCAATCAAGGATCAGAACCTCCAAAACAATTAGACAAATAAACCTTTTCTTTTTAATAGTTTATTATCTCAAGCTGGGTGTGAATGACATAAGGCTTAATCCCAAAATTCTAGAAGCTGAGCCAGGAACAGGAGTTCAAGGCTACCCTGGAAAACAGGAAACCTGTCTCAAAAAAACAAAATGAAAACAAGTTTATCATCTTGAAGTATTTGTTATAGTTATGGAAAGCTAACTAAAACATGTGTTCACATGCTAGACAGTCTAATTTTCTTCTTCATCCCTCATAGTTTATACAATGAGTACAAAATAAAAATTCAAGAGTTTTATCATTGATAAGTGCAGTACCTAGAGATGAAGAATCTTTGCAACAGAAAAGACCCTAAGAAATACCTCAACTTTCTCAATAAAGGACACAGCATCAGGTAAAGGGTATAAGTTATTTCACTTTTTTGGGGGGGGTCCAGTCGTGGGGCCTGAACTCTGTCCCTCAGCTCTTCAGCTCAAGGCTAGCACTCTACCACTTGAGCCACAGCGCCACTTCCGGCTTTTTTTCCCCCTGCTTATGTGGTGCTGAGGAATCGAACCCAGGGCCTCATGCATGCAAGGCAAGCGCTCTACCAGTGAGCCACCTTCCCAGGCCAGTTATTTCATATTTTAAGAGAAATCTACTCAATGCTAACTATGGACTCTGAAAATACAAAGGTCAAATCTCTTCCAAGTATTTGTGGGCTAAAAAAAGTATGAGGGGGGCTGGGAAGGTGGCTCAGTGGTAGAGCGCTTACCTTGCATGCCTGAGGCCCTGGGTTCGATTCCTCAGCACCACATAAGCAAAAAGAAAAAAGCCGGAAGTGGCGCTGTGGCTCAAGTGGTAGAGCGCTACCCTTGAGCTGAAAAGCTGAGGGACAGTGCCCAGGCCCAGAGTTCAGGCCCACGACCGGACCCAAAAAAAAAAAAATAAGGAACACTTTAATTTCTTTTTCACTTTTAAGAATCTAAGTGAACTTTTTTAGTTTGCCAAAACAAGATTTTGTTATCAGTTAGTATTCTCCAGCAAATTCTATTTACTCCAGTAAACAACAGAGAAGAGAATGCCCAATAATATACATTTATCTTAAAAAGTATAACCATCCTATCGAATGTAACAATATATACTTTACTGTTCTGTTCAGAGACTATGTGTCAAAAGACAATACATAAGACCCTATCCCTATATTCTCTCCTTTCTTTCACATTCTCTTCAAACACACACACACACACACACACACACACACACAGAAAGACAGACAGATACATACACACAGACAGAAAGACCGACAGACAGACAGACACACACACACACACACACCAAGCATCCCTTGAATATATCCCTCTATACGTATAACCAATGACACCAAGTTATTCTCATGGAGATGTTATTCCAGTTTTCTCAAAATGTTCAAATAAAGACAATACTATGAATGCTTTACAATTTCAAAAATACTAAAGTTCTATCATATTATTAATATCTACACACTGAATGACTGTCACACTAATATATTCAGGTCTTAAATAATTTTAAAGAAACCTAACCAAAACAATTTCTTCAAAATATATGTAAGTACCTTAAGAAAAGGAACAAGGTGAGGCTGAGGTGAAGACTTGAGTTCAACATATAGTTTCCTAGTAAATTCTTCGGCTTCAATTTTTGCATCCTAAGAAATGGGAGAGAAAAAAAAAGCATATTTATGTCTACAAACATTTTAAAAAAGGCAAACCCAAGGAGTCTGGGGCCAGTCTGAACAGCACAGCAAGACCCTATTTCTGTTTCTTTATTTTTTTCTTTTTGGTTGGTATGGGGTTTGATCACAGGGCCTCCCACTCTTGACCAGGTTTTTGTCCAAGGCTGCAACTCTACCACTTGAGCCACACTTCTACTTCCAACTTTTTACAAGTTAATAATAAAGACAAGAGTCTGTCAGATTTGTCATAAGGAGGCAATTTCATGCCACCAGAGAAATAAGTACAAATAATGGGGATGTTTAGTTACAGAACATACAATAAAGGTTTAATTATTTCAAGGAATGAGATAAGAAAGGGATCTCAATGAGTTAAATCAACTTAATAGACACAGCAATACAGGAACTCCCATCTAAGAAAAGCCCAGGACCAGATGGATTTACAGCAGAATTCTACAAGCCCTTCAAAGCAGAACTCACACCAATACTCCTCCAACTCTTCAATGAAATTGAAATAGAAAGTTCACTACAAAGCTTTCTACAAAGCCATTGTAACCCTCATCCCAAAACCAGGCAGGGACTCAAAGATAAACATCGATGCAAAACTTCTCAACAAAATTTTGGCCACCCATCTTCAACAATTCATAAAAAAATCATACACCACAATCAAACAGGATTCATTACAGGGATGCAAAGCTGGTTCAATATACACAAATCAATTAATATAATTCATCACATTAACAAGAGCAAGGATAAGAACCACATAGTTATCTCAATAGATGCAGAAAAACCATTTTACAAGATCCAACACCCCTTTATGATGAAGGCTCTGGAAAAACTAGGAATCCATGGAACATTCCTCAATACAATAAAGGCTGAGTATGACAAACATACAGCCAGCATTATACTTAATGGCAAAAAACGAAAGCCACTTCCTGTAAACTCAGGAACGACACAAGGATGTCCACTCTCTCCACTTCTCTTCAATTTAGTATCAGAATGCCTAGCTACAGCAATAAGATGAAAACATAAAGGGGATCCAAATAAGGAAAGCTGAAGTAAAACTCTCCCTCTCTGCAGATGATATGATCTTGTATTTAAAGAATCCCATGGACTCCACTCCCAAATTACTCAAGCTGATTTGAAACGTTGGCAAAGCAGCAGGATATAAAATTGACCCTCAAAAATCAATGGCTTGTTATTAGAGTTCTTGATTATAGCCATTCTAACTGGGGTGAGGTGGTATCTCAATGTTGTTTTGATTTGCATTTCTTTTATGGCTAGGGAGGTTGAGCATTTCTTCATGTGTCTATTGGCCATCCTTCTTTCCTCTTTAGAGAAGTTTCTCTTTAAGTCTTTAGTCCACTTATTTATTGGACAGTTGTTTCTTTGACAATTTGTGGTTGGGGGATTTAATTTTTTGAGTTCCAGGTATATTTTAGATATGAGACCCTTGTCTGTTGTATGGCTAGTGAAGATCTTCTCCCAATCTGTGGGCTTTCTATTGATCTTGCTAGCTATGTCCTTTGCCATGCAGAAGCTCTGCAATTTCATGCAATCCCATTTGTCCAACCTTTCTTTGGTTGTTGTGTTTCTGGGTCTCTATTAAGAAACTTTTGGCCTGTGCCAAGGAGACCTAGAGTTTCTCCTATTCCATCTGTAATGTTTTCAGGGTATCTGCTTTGACTCCGAGGTCTTTGATCCATTTGGAGTTGATTCTAGTGCAGGGTGATATATAAGGATCTAGCTTTAGTTTTCTACAAGTAGTTAACCAATTTGGCCAGCACCATTTACTGAAGAGGCTGTCTTTCTTCCATTCTATTTTTTTAGCTCCCTTATTGAAGATTAGATGGCTATAACAACAGATGCTGGAGGGGATGTGAACAGAAACGAACCTTACTGCATTGTTGGTGGGAGTGTAAACTTGTTCAACCACTTTTGAAAGTAGTATGGAGGTTTCTCAAAAGACTCCACATAGAGCTCCCCTATGACCCAGCAATCCCACTTTTGGGCATTTACCCAAATGATCACAAACAAGATCATACTAAAGCTACCAGCACGACTATGTTTATTGCAGCATTATTTACCATAGCTAAGATATGGAACCAATCCAGATGCCCCTCAGATAAATGGATCAAGAAAATGTGAGATTTTTATATACAATGGAATTCTATGCTTCCATCAGAAAGAATGACATTCTCCCATTTGTTAGGAAATGGAAAGACTTGGAAAAAATTATATTAAGTAAGCCAGGCCCAAAGAAACATAGGTCCCATGGTTTCCCTTATTTGCAATAACTAGTATATGTCTGAATCAAGCAGAAAAGGTCAGATAAGTTGATGTTAGGGGAATGAACCTCAAGATAAGAATTCAAATTTTTTTGTTTTTCTTTCATGCGATTGTTTCTAAGACATTTATAAGATAATTTTTTGTTGCTTTGTATGTCCCTCCCCCCATGGTATAACCCCTGCTTTCACTGTATTTGATGTTGGTATAATTTGCGGAGGGGAAGGGAAAAAAAACCAATCGTTTAACTAGGGATACAGGTGAACCCATTGCAACAATGAGATGTACAAGTCCTTATGTCGAAAAATGAACTTTACAACTTTGGTGGGGGGTGAGGAGAATGATTGGGTAGGGGAGGGGGGAGTATGGGAAGGGATGGAAAGGGGAAACAAAGAGGAGGCAACAATGGATAAGAAATGTACTCGTTATCTTGCCCATGTAATTGTAACTCCTCTGTACTCTATTCTCACAATAAAAATTTAAAAAACTTGATGGCTTTTCTGTATTCCAACAATAAAAAGAGCACAACTGAAATCAGGAAAGCAACTCCTTTTATAATAGCCCACAAAAAATAAAATACCTAGGAATTGACTTAACTAAAGAAGTGAAGGACCTCTACGATGAAAACTTTAAAAACGTGAAAAAGGAAAAAAAAAAAAAAGACGTGAAAAAGGAAATCAAAGCAGAATTTAGGAAGTGGAAAAACATCCGATTCTCCTGGATTGGAAGGAACATCATGAAAATGGCAATACTTCCCAAGGCTATCTACAAATTCAATGCGATACCTATCAATATTCAAACTTCATACTTCAAGGAAATAGAAGAGGCAATCCAAAAGTTCATATGGAACAATAAAAGACCCCAAATAGCAAAAACGATCATCAACAGAAAGAACACTACTGGAGGAATATCATTACCAAATTTCAAACTCTACTACAAAGCCATAGTAATGAAAACAGCTTGGTACTGGCACAAGAACACACCTGAGGAACAATGGAATAGAATTGAAAACCCAGAAATGAACCCACAGACCTATAGCCACTTAATCTTTGATAAGAGAGCTAAAAAAATAGAATGGAAGAAAGATAGCCTCTTCAGGAAATGGTGCTGGCAAAATTGTTTAATCACCTGTAGAAAATTAAAGCTAGGTCCGTATATATCACCTTGCACCAGAATCAACTCCAAATGGATCAAAGACCTTGAAGTCAAAGCAGATTCCTTGAAAACATTACAGGAAGGAATAGGAGAAACTCTAGGGCTCCTTGGCACAGGCCGAAATTTTCTTGAGACCCAGAAACACAACAAATCAAAGAAAGTTTGGACAAATGGGATTGCATGAAGCTGCAGAACTTCTGCATGGCAAAGGACATAGCTAGCAAGATCAATAGAAAGCCCACAGATTGGGAGAAGATCTTCACTAGCCAGATAGGAGATAAGGGTCTCATATCTAAAATATACTTGGAACTCAAAAAACTAATTATTTATTTATTTTTTTTGTATTTTTTTGTGAAAATACTGTACACAGGGGTTACAATTACATAGGCAAGACAATGAGTACATTTCTTGTCAAGTATTGTAGCCTCTTCTTTTGTTTCCTCTTCCCATCCCTTCCCACCCTCCCCCAGGAACTCAAAAAATTAAATCCCCCAACAACAAATCCTCAAAGAAACAACTGCCCAAATAATACGTGGACTAAAGACTTACAGAGAAACTTCTCTGCCAATTAAATAAGAATGGCGAATAGACAAATGAAGAAATGCTCAACTTCTCTAGTCATAAAAGAAATGCAACTACTTGTAGAAAACTAAAGCTAGATCCTTATATATCACCCTGCACCAGAATCAGCTCCAAATGGATAAAAGGCCTCGGAGTCAAAGCAGACACTCTGAAAACATTACAGGATGGAATAGGAGAAACCCTAGGTCTCCTTGGCACAGGCCAAAAGTTTCTTAATAGAGACCCAGAAACACAACAACCAAAGAAAGGTTGGACAAATGGGATTGCATGAAATTGCAGAGTTTCGGCATGGCAAAGGACATAGCTAGCAAGATCAATAGAAAGCCCACAGATTGGGAGAAGATCTTCACTAGCCATACAACAGACAAGGGTCTCATATCTAAAATATACCTGGAACTCAAAAAATTAAATCCCCCAACCACAAATTGTCAAAGAAACAACTGTCCAATAAATAAGTGGGCTAAAGACTTAAAGAGAAACTTCTCTAAAGAGGAAAGAAGGATGGCCAATAGACACATGAAGAAATGCTCTACCTCCCTAGCCGTAAAAGAAATGCAAATCAAAACAACATTGAGATACCACCTCACCCCAGTTAGAATAGCTAAAATCAAGAACTCTAAAAACAACAGATGCTGGAGGGGATGTGGACAGAAGGGATCCTTACTGCATTGTTGGTGGGAGTGTAAACTTGTTCAACCACTTTGGAAAGCAGTATGGAGGTTTCTCAAAAGACTCCACATAGAGCTCCCCTATGACCCAGCAATCCCACTTTTGGGTAGTTACCCAAATGTTCAGAAACAAGACCACACTAAAGCTACCAGCACGACTATCTTTATTGCAGCCTTATTTACCATAGCTAAGATATGGAACCAATCCAGATGCCCCTCAGATAAATGGATCAAGAAAATGTGGTATAAATACACAATGGAATTCTCTGCCTCCATCAGAAAGAATGACATTGCCCCATTTGTTAGGAAATGGAAAGACTTGGAAAAAATTGTATTAAGTGAAGTAAGCCAGGCCCAAAGAAACATAGGTCCCATGGTTTCCCTTATTTGCAATAACTAGTATATGTCTGAGTCAAGCAGAAAAGGTCAGTTAAATTGATGTTAGGGAAATGAACCCTAAGATATGTATTTAAATGTTTTTTTTCTTTCTTGCAATTGTTTCTAACACATATTTATAAGATTATTTCTTTGGGGCTGGGAAGGTGGCTCAGAGGTAGAGTGCTTGCCTTGCATGCCTGAGGCCCTGGGTTCGATTCCCCAGCACCACATTAGCAAAAATACAAAAGCCGGAAGTGGCACTATGGCTCAAGTGGTAGAGCGCTAGCCTTGAGCTGAAGAGCTGAGCGCCCAGGCCCAGAGTTCAGGCCCCATGACCGGACTAAAAAAAAAAAAAGATTATTTCTTTGTTGCTTTGTATGTCCCTCCCCCACGGTATAACCCCTGCTTTCACTGTATTTGATGTCGGTATAATTTGTGGAGGGGAAGGGCAAAAACAAATCATTTATATAGGGATACAAGTAGACCCATTGCAACAATGAGATGTACAAGTTGTTATGTCGAAAACGAACTTTACAACTTTGGTAGGGGGGAAGAGGAGGGTTGGGTGGGGAGGTAGGGGGAGGATGAGATGGGATGGGGAAACAAAGGAAGAGGCTACAATGCTTGATAAGAAATGTACTCATTATCTTGCCCATGTAATTGTAACCCCTCTGTACAGTATTTTCACAATAAAAAGTAAATTTAAAAAAAAAGAAATGCAAATCAAAACAACATTGAGATACCACCTCACCCCAGTTAGATGGACTATAACCAAGAACTCTAACACTAACAGATGATGGAGTGGATGTGGCCAGAAAGGAACCCTACTGCATTATTGGTAAGAGTGTAAACTTGTTCAATCCCTTTAGAAAGCAGTATGGAGGTTCCTCAAAAGACTCCACATAGAGCTCCCCTATAACCCAGCAATCCCACTTTTGGGCATTTACCCAAATTATCACAAACAAGGCCATACTAAAGCTACCAGCACAACTATGTTTACTGCAGCATTATTTACCATAACTAAGACATGGAACCAACCCAGATGACCCTCAGTAGATGAATGGATCAAGAAAATGTGGTGTGTGTATAAACACGCTACACACACACACACACACACACACACACACACACACACACACACACACACACACACACACACACACACACACACACACACACACACACTGGAATTCTATGCCTCCATCTGAAAGAATGACATCGCCCCATTTGTTAGGAAATGGAAAGAAATGAAAAAAATTTTATTAAGTGAAGTAAGCCAGGCCAAAAGAAACATAGGTCCCATGGTTCCCCTAACTTGCAATAGTTATGTCTGGAACAAGCAGAAAAGGTCAAAAGCTATGTACATATGACTAGATACGATAATGTTAAACGAAATGAACCCCAAGATAGGGACATAAGTGGTTTTTTTTCATTCTTGCTATTGTTTCTAACGTATTTATAGAGTATCATGTGATTTTTTTTTTTATTCTTTGTATGTTTCTCCCCCATGGTATAACCCATTTTCACTGTATTTGATCTATGTGCCCTGCATCTTGTATATACACTTCTCTAATTTGGGGAGGAGAAGGGAAAAAACAAAATGCTTAAATAGGGATACAGGTTGACCCATTGTGTTGACCCATTGTAAAAATGAGATGCACAAGACACTATGTTGAAAAAACGAACTTAACAATTTAGGGGGGACATTTGTTAGGAAATGGAAAGAGTTGGAAAAAATTATATTAAGTGAAGTAAGCCAGGCCCAAAGAAACATAGGTCCCATGGTCTCCCTTATTTGCAATAACTAGTATATGTCTGAGTCAAGCAGAAAAGGTCAGATAAGTTGATGTTTTGGAAATGAACCCTAAGATATGTATTCAAATATTTTTTTCTTTTATGCGATTGTCTCTAAGATGATTTCTCTAAGATTGTCTCTAAGATGATTTCTTTGTTGCTTTGTATGTCCCTTCCCCTACAGTATAACCCCTGCTTTCACTGTATTTGATGTCAGTATAATTTGAGGAGGGGAAGGGAAAAAACAAATCATTTAAATAGGGATACAGGTGGACCCATTGCAACAATGAGATGTACTAGTCGTTATGTCGAAAATGAACTTTACAACTTTGGTGGGGGGGGGAGGATTGGGTGGGAGTAGGGGAGAGTATAGGAAGGGATGGGAAGGGGAAACAAAGGAGGAGGCTACAATGCTTGATAAGAAATGTACTCATTATCTTGCCCATGTAATTGTAACCCCTCTGTACAGTATTTTCACAATAATGAAAAAAAAGAAAAAAAAAAGAAATACTAAAATGAGAGATGATTTAAAAAAAAAAAACAATTTGGGGGGGGTAGTTGTGGAGGTGGGAGGGAAGGGATGGTAGGGGGAAAGGAGGAGGTAACAATGCTTGATAGGAAATGTACTCATTACCTTGCTCATGTATGTAACTGTAACCCCTCTGTATAATATTTTTACAATTAAAAAAAAGGTTAAAAAAAGAAAAGTATCTCAGTAAGCAAATTGAGAGAAAAGCTGAGCTGGCTAGCTAAATAATGCTACATTCTTTTTTTTTTTTTTTGCCAGTATTGGGACTTGAACTCTAGGCCTGGGCACTGTCTTTGGGTTACTTTTCCTCAAGGCTAGCACTCTACCACTTAAGCCACAGTGCCACTTCCAGCTTTTTCTGTGATTAATTGGAGATAAGAACATGATCCTCAGATCTCAACCACCTGAGTAGCTAGGATTATAGGCATAAGCCACCAGTGCCCATTTTTACAGTCAGTTTAAAACAAATACCAATATACCCACAAGAATCACAAATTACTTTTCTTTTTCTTTTTCTTTTTTTTTGGCAGTTGTAGGGCTTGAACTCTGGGCCTGGGCGTTGTCCTTCAGCTCTTCAGCTCAAGGCGAGTGCTCTACCGCTTGAGCTACAATGCCATGTCTAGTTTTCTAGTGATTTATTGGAGATAAGAGTCTCACAGACTTTCCTGCCTGGGCTGGCTTTGAACCATGATTCTCAGATCTCAGCCTCCTGAGTAGCTAGGATTATAGGCGTGAGCCACCGGCGCCCAGCAAGAGTCATAAATTTCTTAGGGTAGAGAATTAGAAGTTGTTTGCTTTGAAAACTTTTCTTAAAATTTATTTAATGACTGACTTTAAGTTATATTTTTAGAATAGTATCATAATATCAGTTTCAAAGAACTGAAGATGCTTTACTATTTTATACTATAGGCATTTAAGGAGTCTGTGGTGTCTAAATTATTTTCACACTAAGAGGTTTGGAAGGTGAAGGAAAGACTTTTTTACTGTGCTGAGGTGTGTAGTAATGATATAAAAGCAACAGCAAATAAAACAACTAGTAAGAAGATAAAAGCAAAGAGAAACAGTCATTACTGTGCTTCACACTGCTACGCACTTATAGTTAAAAAGGAAATAGTGCTAATTCCCCTCCCCCACGATATAACCCCTGCTTTCACTGTATTTGATGTTGGTATAATTTGCGCAGGGGAAGGGAAAAAACAAATTGTTTAAATAGGGATACAGGTGGACCCATTGCAACAATGAGATGTACAAGTCGTTATGTTGAACAATGAACTTTACAACTTTGACTGGGGGGCGGGGAATATTGGGGGGAGAAGGGAGAGAAATGGGAGGGGCAGGATATGGGAAGGGATAGGAAGGGAAAACAAAGGAGGAAGCAACAATGCTTGATAAGAAATGTACTCATGGAAGTGGCGCTGTAGCTCAAGTGGTAGAGCGCTCGCCTTGAGCTGAAGAGCTGAGGGACAGCGCCTAGGCCCAGAGTTCAAGCCCCACGACCGACAAAAAAAAAAAAGAAATGTACTCATTATCTTGCCCATGTAATTGTAACTCCTCTGTATGGTATTTTCATAATAAAAATTTTTAAAAAAAGAAAATAGTGCTAATATCACTAATGTGTACCTTTGGTACACATCTAATACTATATGTAACAAAATGGGTACCACACATAAAGCATTTCCATTTCAAACCAAAAAACAGATGTTCAAGGAAAAATGCTTTTTGACTGAGTTGCTACGTAAATTAGCTGCTGCTTTTAATTTTTATTGGAAAGAATAACAAAGCAACTGTGGTCATTCAGACTCAGAGATGTGGTATATACTTTCTCAAATGTTTGTAGGGAAAACAAGTAATAGCAATTTTGGAAAATTTTAGAACTACTTCTCTGAATCTGATAGTTTCACAGACTTACAGAATTTTCTGTATAATACAGAGTGAAATTTGTGAATGTGATTTTTTTTTCAAGGAGAATATGTGAAAGCATTTGGAAAATCTGAATAATTCAATAAGGCAGTATCTTCCAAGTGACCAATGAGCAATATGGATTCTCACAAAGCTTTTATATTAGTAACTTTTATAGTAGTAACTTACCAAAAGTTCTTCCACTAGCTTCTTCACATTCTGCCCCATATCTGGAGAGTGAGATCCACTACATGCTAGTTTTATTAACATTGCAAGGAAGTTTTTACATTTCTTCACATTTTCTAGCATTGCCTAAACATAGAAATATAATCACAAATGTAAAATAGCAGGAAAGATTCAAGAACACTAGCAAGGGACTATATTTATATAAGGTAAAAGTTAAATGCTTACTGGAGAAAGAGTAATCTGAGTAGTTGTTGAGTTCTCTGCTTTGAGACTGGGCTCATTTGAAGGGGTAGATGATACTCCCAAACTTGATGGCTTCAGGGTGGTTATAGCATTTACCAGATTTGCAGGATTAACTGTGACAACATTGGTAGGCACAGCGACAGACTAAAATAAAGTTAGTACATATTTAAATATGTATTCCTATGGTACATTAGTGGGCATCTTACCTCTTTGCTATGATAGTCTATAGCGATATAATACAGAACCCTCAACTCTAGGAAATCATTCACACTTACCTACTTTTCACTGACAACTTCTGCAATATTGATTATAAACAATTTACTTAATTTTCCTAATCCTCTTAATATTGCTTGCAAAAACCAAGGACAGCAGTGGGACTTACTATCCTAGGGTTGTGTTAGAAAAATCGTGTCACATATGCAAGTCTTCAAGAGTATTATTAGCAGTCTCTAAAGAATGGACTACACTGCTATGTCCTACTTTAAATAGAAAGCAAAGTGATCAACCGATTAACTTATATTCAGATAGACTGATTTTCTGTAGACTCTTAGAGTAAGCATAAAGAATATTACAAAAAGGAGTTATGTTATATTCACACTGAAAAGAATTTCATCTAGTTTATTCACCTATTATCAAAATGAGATGTGATTCTAGCACCACCTGCAGAACAAAAAGATTAGTACTGCAAATTACCAAACTCTTATCCCAAAAATAAAATATTAAAGTTACAAGACTTAAGAAAAGTTTGAGGTTATAAAAGAGAAAAGAATACTAGTCACAATTCACATAGAAAACTAAACATTAGCATTTTCATTTTAATTTAAATGCTGTCATTCTACATGAACATAGAAAGGTCAGGCAGTTATCAAAACAATTTCTTTCTGTAACAAAGTAAGTCACCAAAATTTCACTTTAGAATATATACATATATATTAAACAAAATGTTAAGAGTAAAAATAAGAAGGAATTAGCACATTTTTATTAAACACAGAGAAAGCCTCAAAGACAACATTGAAAACCAAGTCACAATAATCACAAGACACTGTTAGAAATGAACTTTACAACTTGGAGAGGGGTGGGGGCAGGGATTAGGGTGGGAATGTAGGAGAAAATGAGGGAGGGAGTAACAATGTTCAACAAGAAATGTCCTCATTACCTTATGTAACTATACCCCTTTGTATATCACCCTTACAATAAAATAAAAAAAGAAAATGAAGTTCCATTTCTACTACTATCCTTAGACATGTTCTCCAGAGATAACTACTGTGCAGTTTTTTGGTGCCTCTTAAGATATTTTCTAGCAAACTTTGAGGTTTGTATACAGTAAGATTTTACTCCAGAGGCTTTTTTTTTTGCCAGTCCTGGGGCTTGAACTCTGGGCCTGGGCACTGTTCTTGGGTGACTTTTGCTCAAGGCTAGCACTCTACTACTTAAGTCACAGTGCCACTCCCAGCTTTTTCTGTCATTAATGGGAGATAAAGAGTCTCACAGACTTTCCTTCCCAGGTTGGCCTCAAAACATGATCCTCAGATCTCAGCCTCCGAAGATATAATCAAACATAAAATCTATATAACATTGTATTTATGTCAATGTAAACTAGAACTGAGCTATGATTGTTGAAGGCCTTCAATGCCTGATGGCAGGAGCACCTCAGGGGCATACCATCCCCTGATCTTATGACACAAAGTAAAGCCCAATCAAATGCAATTATGGAAAGTGTCCTATTTTTCATGAGCATGATTAAGTATTTATGACATTATTTTACATGATAATATATTTATCGTTTCTCCATACCGTAATTTGGGTCTTAATGTGTCCACATGCTTCAAAAGTCCATGTGCTAGGGAAAGGAGGTATGGCACAAGCACTAGTGAACTGGTCTTGAGTGAAAAAGCATAAGATCTTGAGTTCAAGTTCAAGTAGCAGCACAAAAAATGTCCTTATGGCTGGGAAGGTGGCTCAGTGGTAGAGCGCTTGCCTTGCATGCCTGAGGCCCTGGGTTCGATTCCTCAGCACCACATAAGCAAAAAGAAAAAAGCCGGAAGTGGTGCTGTGGCTCAAGTGGTAGAGTGCTAGCCTTGAGCTGAAGAGCTGAGGGACAGCGCCCAGGACCAGAGTTCAGGCCCCACAACCAGACCAAAAAAAAAAATGTCCTTGTGCAGGCTAGGAAGGTGACTCAGTGGTAGAGTGCTTGCCTTGCATGAGGCCCTGGGTTCAATTCCTCAGCACCACATCATCCACATCATAAGCAGAAAAGGCCAGAAGTGGTGCTGTGGCTCAAGTGGTAGAGCGCTAGCCTTGAGCTGAAGAGCTGAGGGACAGCACCCAGGCCCAGAGTTCAAGTCCCACGACCAAAAAAAAAAAAAAAAAAGTCCTTGTGCTAATTGGTCCCCAGCCCATAACATCATTGGGAGGTGGAACCTTAAAGAGGTGGAGACTGGTAGAAGACTTGCCATCACTGGGAGCATGCCTTTGAAGAACATACTAGGATTAAAGCACTTCCTTTATCCTCAATGGCTTTCTGGTATGCAGCAAATTGCCCTCCATCACATACTTCCCTATAATGTACTGTGCCAAACAATATGTCATGGTATGAAACCTACAAAACCTTAGCCAAAATAAATCTTTCTTCTTTTTAAATTTATTTCTTTCGGGCATTATAAGTAGTAGAAAGCTCTAACATTCTAATATAAATCTAGCCTTTATAATGCTTTCTAATATAACTACTATCCATACTTTACCAGAGGTATGTGCCTTCAATGCCAAATTCACTTTGTAAAGAACAATGGAGAGATATAGAATAATAGTGTTCCCACTGCTGAATTAGATGGACCCTCTTAAATCCAATCGTAACTCTTAAACTCAATATTCTAGACCTGTCAATGGTCTTACCAACACAATGCAGTGCACTGATTAAGCATGTGTAATGAAGAGGAAAGAAAAGGGATGTTATATGTAATGAATCTAAAAATCAGTTGTAATACTTAGTAGATCAAACTATGTTTCAAGGAGGTTAATTTTCTGCACCTGTCTAAAATTACTTTAGATTTGTTCATATTTAATTAGAAATACCAATTCTAAATGAAATCATTTGCACATTTACATTCAAATCTACAGTGGGTCTACCTAAATCTTCATTATTAAATGTAACAGTGAACACAAAGATTTCAAACTAGTTCTTATGTTATATTTAATAGACTAGGCCATGTTTCAAGCCATTTTAAACCAATATTGATACTTAATGGTAATACTAATTGATACTATATTGATAATAAAAACTTGCAAATTTCCAGGTCAAACAAGGGGGCCTATCTTATTCTCATTTCCAAATTCTTGCTCATTTCCAACTGAGATGCTGTATGCCTCATAGTGAACAAAGAATATTATTAACTTCATTCTTTTGGTAAGTTCTATTGTTCTAGACTACACTAAGAACACCCCAGAGCATGATGAGCTACAAATTGCTTCCTACACCTATTGAAGCAAAAACATCAAATCCAAGTCTTGTTCCAGTAACAGTTCACAACTTGGTAAGTATCACCACCGGTTCACTCAACTGTTCTCTTCAACGTCACATAATGAGCAACTTATATATCTGGTAGGAAATAGCTAAAAAAATAAAGATGAGAGAACAACTGGTATATACATAGCCACATAGAAGCCATAACTTACTTGTACTGAGGAAGAGTTCAGAACAGTAGTTGTCACAGTAGCTCCTATCTGTGCCACTTTTTTGATAGGTGCCACTGCCACATTCTTGATTAATTGTGAACTAGAATTCTTGGGAGGAATGAAGAGAAAATTTGTTGCTATTAGTCAAAGCTTTTAATACATATTCTATACTAAAAGCTTAACTAGTCAGTTGGTTAGTTGATACTCACTTCCCATTTCATAGGAATTAATTCACTGAAACCTATTTTGTTTATCCAAAAAATTTCCAACTAAATAATTAGAGAGTATGACTTAATCTTGACTTTGGTTTGTAAAAAAAAAGACAAAAAGACCCAGAGATTCTTACATTTAACATTTAGTTATAAACAAAATTATCCTTAATCTAGCCAGATACTGGTAGCTTATGCCTGTAATCATAGTTACACAGGAGGCTGAGAAAAAAGAATCACATTCAGAACCAGCCCAGGCAAAGAAGTCCACACGGCTATAATTTCCAATTAACCACCAAAATGCTAGAACTGGAGCTATGACTCAAATGCTAGAGCACTAGACTTAGGAAAAAATCTAAGGGACAGCTCTCAGGCCCTGAGCTCAAGTCCTAGTATCTGCACATACACATATACAAAGAAAAAAGCCACATTCTTTTTTTTTCATTTGCTCAAGGTATTCCTTTTAAAAAAAAAAAAAAGGCATATTCTTAACCTGTACAACTAGACAACAGAAAATATCCAATTAAGTACCTAGAACAAAAAGAAAGCATAAAAAAAAAACCAGCAAAGATTAACATTCCTACATCTTCCTGAGTCAGGAACATGTTAAACTACATTTAGCATTTTCTGTTTAAATATACTACTTAACCCTGTCACATAAGATAAGCATCTGTTACTAAGAAAGATTGCTGTGTATGTTATATAAAATTATAGAGTATTTTGTTTTGCTTTTGGCCATTCTAAGAATTGAACTCAGAGCCTTGGGCTTGTAGTCAAGTAAAAAGTCACATGGCAAATAAAATATTACAACCAGGTTTCTGCATTTCTTAAAAGATAATTTTTATAATTTATACATTATATATAACATGTAATAGACAAAAAGGAACAGTGAACTATTTACCACAAATTGAAAATGAAGCAAAATGTCCTTTTGAACATTTACTTTGAAGACCATGCAGTGGTTGAGCATGGATATTCAACTTTCATTATTTTAGCCTTTATCAATGCCAATTTCAAAGAAAGGCACTTAATTTACAAAGTTGAGCACAATCAATCTTGAATTTTTTAAATAACTTACATATATACATTGACACAACAGCTGGAAAACTAAGACTAAAGTACTTTACCGGCATTGTACAGATTTTGACTGTTTGAGTATTTACTGGTGCTGTTGGCCTTGAAGTTATGTTGTTTGTGGTTTCAGCTCTTGTTACAGCTTGCTGAGGTGATACCAACATCAACTGACCATTGTTACTTTTGATCAAAACTGTACCTGTAGTTAAAGAAAAAAACAAATGTGACTTCCAAGTTTATAAATAAAACATAACCACCACACTTTCTTTTCTCATACAATACTAGCAACAGAAAATGAGTACTTAGTACATAATGAATTCCATTTCCATTAATCATAAAATGATACTATAAAATGATTTTAAATGATAAAAAATGTTTTCATAAATCTATTTTAAAGTATTAAAAAACCAGCTTATATAGAGGTAGCATCTCTAATCCCAGCACTTAAAAGGCTAAAGCAGGAGAACTTTGAGTTTGTTGTCAGCCTAGGCTATGTATAAAATGTCTCAAAATAAAATAAAATGAGAATCTTATGTTCAACTACATTAAGAATATATTGGAAAAAGATATCATCAAATAAAATATAAGACACAAACAGAATAAAAATTTCCTTTCAAAGGGCAAATATCCAAAATGCAGCATAAGCATGGATGCAAATAACAGGGAAAGCTATATTAAGACCACAATATTAAGACCACAGTATTACTTTCTATATAGCTAACCAGTCCAAAATTAATAAGCTTAATAGCAATACTAAATGGTAAGAAAGATGTGCATCAGCAGGTGATACACATTTGGTGATAGTGTGACTGGTATAACTACGATATCAACTCTACATGACTATACCAAACTGATTTCTTTTTATATCCTCTATATCCCAGTATTTATAACCTAAGCAATTTCTTGTTTTTGTCAAGATAATACTTGTAGCTGGAATTCTTGTTATAGAATGGCAGTATAATGAGCTCCTATTCCCTAAGAAACAAGTATAACTAGTAAATACGACTTGTAAAAACAAGTATAACTAGTAAAGATACTGTAACTGTAGAGACCATTGAAGCCTTTGGAAATTTTCATAAAGAGAGTATGACTACACAATTATTTAAGAAGATCTATCCAAACTCAGCAAGTTCAGCAAGAATCTATGACATTTAAACTATTGTCCTCCCCTTTTCAATTAAGCATGAAACTCCACCCCAAGTAGTGTAGCCAAAAACACAAGGCTCTCTCACAAGTAGTTCCCAGTCAAAGGCCAAGGTGTCTTCCCTGGAAAGAACAAACTCTAACATTTCTCACCCTCCCTAAACCCAAGTCCCACTCTCCCAGTGAAGAAGAAAAATACATCCTAAATTTCTGAAGCTCACTTTTTTCACTAACTCTCATTCATTTTTAATTAATTAATTAATAAAAGCTGTACTTCAAAGATGGTACAATAAGCATACTTGGGTACCACACTTCAACTCTTTTTCAGAGTTCCATGTTAAGAGGCAAGTAGGGAAGATTAGAGTACCACCACCTAGGCCCATCTAATACCCTACAACTAAAAAGATTTTATTAATTTATTTTTTTTGTAAAAGCATGCCACAGTTCTGATGCTGCTCCAAATATAGGCACTAAAGGAAATGATAAATACCCTCAATAAAGGAAACATCCTTACGTTTGAACTTCTTCATAATATATTTGATTATGACAAAGCTCAAAGTTAAGAACATTCTCAAATACAATTGAGCTATTTTTATTATCTTCAACAATTGTACAAAAGTGTTTCAATTCAACTTGTCAATTTATGAGTACAACACATCTTGATCACTGTCACCCTTTCCTTCATTTTACCCCCAATCTACTCAAATCCTACCCATCCCCTCAAGTTACTTGATTTTCACATTTGAATATTATGACTATGTTCACCCACTATCCTTTTATCCATTTGTTTGCCCAACTCTTAAGTCTAACCCCCCTCAGACAAAACCTATTTCTACTTCTTACTATTCGTTTTGTTAAACTGTCAATTCATTATTACACCACTGGAATCCACTCTTGGATATACCATACTTTAGTCAGGTTGTATTTCACATATATGGCCCAATCTAACACATGTGCAAACATGTGCCCTTTGTTTCTGAGCCTGACTTACAATTGAGCTATCAAGAGACAAGCTATCCAGAGACAAGCTAAACCATAAGTCTATTAGTTTACTAGAGAACTAAAAAGACAACTAAGCAGGACCCTTATGGGGTCAGAACAAACCTCAAACATTTGCCTCAAAAACTATTACTGTAAAGAAAGCTAAATTTCCAAAGGATTAGACTATGGAACAACTTAAGCCATAAGGGCATTGCTGAAAACAATAGGCAATCAGCGGGCAATGAGTGAATCCTAATATCTGAGTCAGGAATAAGGAAACAAAGAGCCCTGCTAAAGATGCCATTGCTCATGCTCAGGGGTGTCCTCTGAGAAGCAACATAGAAACTTCTTATGGGGAGGAAAACAGATCATTATATATAAAGTAGTCTATTCAGTAAACAAAAATAGGAAGTGATGCTGTGGCTCAAGCAGTAGAGCACTTGCTTTGAGCTGAAGAGCACAGGGACAGCGCCCAGGCCCAGAGTTCAAGCCCCACGACCCACCAAAAAAAAAAAAATTCTCGTAAACAAAAATACACCTACTTCCATGGGAGTGGGAACCAGTATCTAAAGTTGCTAATAATATTGCCTAAAAGGCAGAGGGAAACAGGCAACAGAACCCCTTTTGAGGGGAAACAGACATAGATTTAACTGACAGAGTCAAGAACAATCACTGAACACTGATTAGTATTATCAAAGGACTGAAAGGAAACTTTGAAGAAACAAAGGAAAACACCATGATATCACAAATAAAGAAGCTCACTAGAAGCTGCGTATTGTGGTACATGCCTCTAGTCTCAGCTACTTAGGAGGCTGAGCCAGGAGAACCATTTAAGAAAAGGAGGTTAAGAGAGACCAGCCTGGACAAAGACCCTTTGTGAGGAGGAGGAGGTAGGGAAAAGGGGGGGGGGGGGAATTTTAAACTGTAGATATGTCTTTAAAAATAAATGAAGGGGGTGGGGCTGGGAAGGTGGCTCAGTGGTAGAGCGCTTGGCCTTGCATGCCTGAGGCCCTGGGTTCGATTCCTCAGCACCACATAAGAAAAAAGAAAAAAGCTGGAAGTGGCGCTGTGGCTCAAGAGGTAGAGCACTAGCCTTGAGCTGACGAGCTGAGGGACAGCACCCAGAGTTCAGGCCCAACAACCTGATCCAAAAAATAAAAATAAATAAATAAATGAAGGGTTGGGAGTATAGCTCAGTATTAGGGTCCTTGCTAAGTATGCATGAGGCTGTGGGTTCAGTTTTCATTACACAGAAAAAAAGAAAATTCTATAATTAATGAGCACAGTAACAGAAATGAGTTCACAAGACGGACTCACAATGGAGTTTCAACTGGAAAAACAAAGATAAGTAACAATTTTTAAAAAGACAAACTAAAGGCAAAATAAACTCTCAGATAAACAAAAACTGAGAGAATTCACTGCAGGCAGATACAACATATAAGAAATACCAAATAAACTCTGTCAGACTGAAAACAAGTGACCCCAGAGAGTACTCTGAAAGAACAAATAGCACTGGAAGGTAATTTTGTGATTTGACAACATAAAGTACACTTTACTACTTTCTTATCTTAACTGATTTAAGAAAAACAATTTTATATGTATATAACTGTGTTTTGTTTTGTTTTTTGTTTTTTTGGGGGAGGTCCGGTTGTGGGGCCTGAACTCTGGGCATGGGCGCTGTCCCTCAGCTTTTCAGCTCAAGGCTAGCACTCTACCACTTGAGCCACAGCACCACTTCCGGCTTCTTTTCTTTTTGCTTATATGGTGCTGGGGAATCGAACCCAGGGCCTCATGCATGCAAGGCAAGCGCTCTACCACTGAGCCACCTTCCCAGCCCCATAACTGTGGGGTTTTTTTGTTTTTTTTTATTTATTTTTATTTTTTGTGAACATACTGTACAGAGGGGTTACAATTACATGGGCAAGATAATGAGTACATTTCTTATCAAGCATTGCAAGAGCACAAAGTAAGTGGTAGACAGAAACCTACACTATGCTAAGAAAGTAACTTCAAGTGGTAGCTATATTTCACAGGAACAAATAAAGAAGTCCATATGAAACTGAATTGAAACTCCTTTGTACAACTACTCAATGTTTAAAGAAAATAATAAAAGGCCCTGAGTTCAATCCCAACACTAACAAGAAAAAGAGATTGTACTGCTAACCACACAGAAGACGACTAAACAATTGTAACACTAAATTAAATAATTTAGAAATGCATAAACTACTGCTACTAGAAATACATAAATTCTGAAACTCATTCGGGAAGGAGACAACAGACCCTTACAAATAAAGATATAAAGATGCCTTCACTGGTCAAGTCTAATTAACATTTAAAGAAAAATTTATACTACTCCTTCACAAACTCTTCCCAAAAAATAAACATAGAAGAGAATATGCCAACTCATTCTGTAAAGTAAGTATTACCAATACTCAGCCTGGAGCAGTGGTTGAAGCCTGTAATCCTACCTACTTGGAGATAGAGATCAGAGGATTGTGGTTCAAAGACAGTCAAGCCATAACAGCGCACAACAATCTCCTTAATGTTAAAGATCTACCCTTTCCACTGATGCTGGTGGCAACTTTTCCTTGTAATCCTAGTTATTCCAGAAGCTGCGATCTAAAAAATCTCAGTTCAGCCAACCTGAACAGAAAAGTCCGTGAACATCTTATGTCAAATTAATCAACTAAAACCCAGAACTGACTTTAGCTAAGTATAACTATGCCACAATATTGTGAAACATAAGTAGTCACTTAAACTCAATAAAGAAATATTTGTAAAATAAAATAAAATAAAACCCAGAAGAGGAGATGTGGTTCAAGTGGTAGGCAGCCTAGAGCAAAATAGCTTAGCAAGAGCTCAAGAAACAGCTCAAGCCCCATCCCAGAAGGGGGGAAAATCACAACTATCCTTTTAGATTATTGAGAATTTAGTGTGCGCTAACATATTTCAGATGAATAGCAATTACAGAGTGCCTTGAGCCAAGTACTATAAAGATGTTCAGTTAGGGGGCTAGGAAGGTGGCTCAGTGGTAGAGCGCTTGCTTTGCATGCATGAGGCACTGGCTTCGATTCCTCAGCACCACATAAGCAAAAAGAAAAAAGCTGGAAGTGGCGCTGTGGCTCAAGTGGTAGAGTGCTAGCCTTGAGCTGAAGAGCTGAGGGACAGCACCCAGGCCCAGAGTTCAGGTCCCACAACCAGACCCCCCCCCCCCCCCAAAAAAAAGATGTTCAGTTAGGATACTCCTGACAGATTCCAGATTCCACTATGTTCCACATGAATGGTATTCCAAAATTCTGTGGCATGCAAACTTTACATGTATTTATTTTACTTAATCCTTAATGATACTTACAGGAAGAAGTTATAAGCCATACAGAAATAAGAATGCTCTCATGAAGAATAAAGTTAATAAACTTGCCAAACATCACAAAATCATGTAGCTGGGATTTACATTAGGTCAATAGACTCCAAGGCCAATTCAGCCATTTATTGTTACACTCCACCTTTTCAGTAAAGACTAAGGCCCCAAGTTCCTTCTTACCTACAAAGTTGTACAGCACACCATCTAGTCTTTATTCTGTACTAAACTTTCCAAGCTACTATGTATCATATACCTAATTCACTTGGAGATAACAAGAGTCATTTCAGATATAATTACCCAATAATGAAAAGAATCTGTATAAAAGTAGTATCATCAAGCTTCCTTTTTCTCTATATTCAAAGCCTACATCCTTCCCTGACCACTCAACTGTTGAGTCATTTGCCATTACAATAAGCTTGAAAATGACTTCTTAAATTCCATAAATAGGTTTGTTAAATTAAATATTAACATTGTGGATTTTATATATATTGGTGTGGGTCTTCAACTTAGGGATTGGACACTGTCCCTGAGCCCCTTTGTGCTCAAGGCTAGTGCTCTACCACTTGAGCCATAGTGCCACTTCCAAGTTTTGAGTGGTTCACTGGAGACAAGAGTCTCATAGAGACTTCTGCCCAGGCTGGCTTCGAACTGTGATCCTCAGATCTCAGCCTCCTGAGTAGTCAGGATTACAGGCATGAGCCACCAGCACCTGGCAAGGATTATATATTTAAACAATATTTTGGGGGAAGTATACCAGTATTTATTGAAATATTATCATTTGAACCAACAATTGCACTAGTAGATAATCCTATAAAAATGTTTACAAGCCTGCACAAAACAAAGGAATTTATTACAGCATTATTTACAATAGCAGAAAGTAGCATGACCAGTACCAATAGGAAAGAGGTCAAAAAACAATGGAACATTAATACAAATGAACTACTGTGCAGCTAAAAAACTGAAGAATTAGAGGTGCAATAAAGATACCATGAAATTGCTAAGGGTAATCCTCTGGTGATTCTTTTTAACATTCTGCTTTACACAGAATAAGCAAAGACCTTGAGTTCAAGCCCCAGTAACAGCACAAAAAACAATAAAACAAATCACCTTTCAGCACTAATACTCAATAAAACATACTATATACTCACAGAGAAAGCATAATGCTGTAGAAAGAATAGTGTTAGAAGGCTGGGCCCCAGTGGCTCATGCCTATAATCCTAGCTACTCAGGAGGCTGAGATCTGAGGATCACAGTTCAAAGCACAAAATTCAGGGAGACTCTGATCTCCAGTAAACCACCAGAAAACTGGAAGTGTTGCTGTGGCTTAAGTGGTAGAGTGCTAGCCTTGAGCTGAAGAGCTGAGGGACAGCACCCAGGCCCAGAATTCAAGCCCCACAACTGACCAAAAAATAGTGTTAGAAAGATCTGGGTTCAAATCCACTCCAGCTCCTAAGAGCTACCTGGCTTGGCCAAATTATTTCGTCTTAGAGACCTCTTCCCTTATAATGCTACCTACCCTATATGGCCAATGAATAAAATAATATACTTTATTAAAAGTGCCTAGCATAGAAAGCCCTCATAAGTGATTTGTTCCAATTTGTCATCAAGTTGTCATCTTTTTTTTTTTTTTTGGTCAGTCGTGGGGCCTGAACTCTAGGCTTGGGCACTGTCCCTCAGCTCTTCAGCTCAAGGCTAGCGCTATACCACTTGAGCCACAGCGCCACTTCTGGTTTTCTAGTGGTTTATTGGGAGATAAGAGTCTCATGGACTTTCCTGCCCAGGCTGGCTTTGAACCGTGATCCTCAGATCTCAGCCTCCTGAGTAGCTAGGATTACAGGTGTGAGCCACAGTGCCCAGCATCAAGTTGTCATTCTTGATCATTTTTCTATCTTAACAAGTTTTGACTGTTTCTAAATGAATTTCAGTGACTAGACCAAATGTGTATTTTAGCAAATTAAGTTGAAATTTCATTCAAATACATTTATAACTATGTAAGAGTGTAGGCAGGATGATAATTTTGAACTGGTATTTTCAGTATAGTTTTAACAAGTGTAGATGCCATATGTATCACATAAAACTGAAACAAAGTTTGATTAAATGTACATGATATTAACAACTAAATATAGCATTAGCTGGAAAAACATGGCTGTTGTTTTGCAAGAAGATAACAAAGTAATCTTTAGAATAAATGATTGTATTTCTTTGCTATCAAATTATCATCATTAAAGCATTCTTGACTTGGATTTTTTTTGTTTTTTGAGCTACCAGCACGTTGGAAGCTCTAGTTTCTGCTAGGCAAATTAAGAGAAGACAAATTCCACGAGACTTTCAATACAGCCGAGACAAATGAGAGAACAAACCTCATTCAACACATGTAATATATGGACACTAACACAAAACAAAACCTTTATGAAAACCATGGAAAACAGCCCAACAGAGTAATATGCCCTAGGATAAAGCAGTCAAAGCAAGATTCATTAAAAGAGCATTCATTCAGACATTTCTTCAAATATAACTGCTGGGCTCTGATGTATTTGTCAACTCCCACACTTGGGCCCTAGGATAGGGATTCTTCCATCTAAAAGTTAAAACCACTGCACATCGGGAGATGGCTCTGGGAAGCAGCATTTCTTTTCCGGCCCTGGGAAACTAGAAACGTATTCTTCATGATTTTTGTTTTGTTTTCACTCTTGACTCCCAAGACCTTTTACAAAGACATTTCTTTTCTCTTTAGCATCCCAATGGAGGATGGAAAATAGACTCGGGTCTGGTTTTCCCGGAAGACGAACTTTGTGTAGCTATCCCATTCGTCTCCCCGGGGCTGGTGGGTGGAGGGACCTCGAGGGCTCAATGGAAGAGGCTGCTTCAGCTCCTGCTGGCCCTGAGGTGACAAGAATTCCTTCCTACAACACCAAACGCTGGGATGAGGGCACAAGGAGGGTGGTGTTAGTTGAACCTAAGCCCCAATGAATCACTGCTTCCTGTACATTCCCTGCAAAGCCGGGATGATGGTTAACAAACAAACAAAAAAAGGTTTCCTTTGGCTCAAACTTCTATTTCCCCATGCTCCCTGCAAGGCTCGGCCATCCGGGACCGCGAGCCTGCCGGTGTCACCGCGGGCTGCAGCTCCGGGTGACCGCGGATGGAGCAGGGGGGAGGGGAGATGGGGTGTGTGGAGGGGAGATGGGGTGTGTGGAGGGGTGCGCCACGTACCTGGAGGGAGCTGCACGTTGGCGGGCAACTGGATGGTCGTGGTGCTGGGGGCTTTCACGGTGACCAGCTGCGGAGCCGACAGCGCGGGGCCACCGAGGCTGAGTTTCGGGAGGGCGCTGACAGGAGCCACTTTGGTCACCAAGGTCCCCACGGAAGCGCGCGCGGGCTGGGACGCCAAGGGCTCCGCGCGGACACTCAGGGGAGCCTTGGCCACGGCGCCCAAGGCCGCCGGGGCCACGGTCACGGCGCCCGAGGCGCTGACGGCCGCGGGAGGCGCGGCGCCCGGGGGTTCGGTGAGACCCGCGGGCATCCCCGCCGGGGTATCAGCGGCGGCGGCGGCGCTGCCCTGCGGGGAGCGGAGCAGAGGACGGCCGGGACTCGCGGCAGTCGACTCCGGCGCCTGGCTGGCCCCGCAGCATCACTGGCGCCCGCCGCAGCCGCCCCGGGACCCCGCGGACTCCCGCCCGGCGCCCGCGCGCCCGCCCGGCGCTCCCTCAGCGGCGCTCACACGTGCGCCTCTGCCTGCGGTCCCGACTGCGGCGGACCCGGACGCGCAGCTCGCCGAAGGCCGTCACTTCACTCCCCACCTCCGGAACCTCACTGCGAACGCCTCCTTTCCCCACCGCCAGAAACTTCAAAACGACAAACCCCGCAGCACCTCAGAAACGCCCCAGCCCGTGGCGTCCGGCCCCCGCTACGAGCCCCGGCCAGCCATGTTTATATAGCCACGCGGAGACCTGGCGCGCACGCGCTCTGGCTTTCGCCGCCGCCCGGGGCTTTCCCCAGAATCTAGCCTTTGGATTGGCCACTGGGAGGAATCGCGCTCGTGACGTCACGGAAGACGGCCCAGGAGAACGTTAGAATCTTCCCTAGAATCCGGGCCTGGGAGTGGCAAAGTGCCAAAATCCTATCACGTACTCTGGGGGCTGAAGAGGGCGGGGATTCACTGCGCTGCGAGACGCCCCTGTCCCGGGATCCCCCTTTGGGCGGTCCTGGAAAGAGCCTGAGCTACTCTTTCTTGGGCTTCTTCTTTTAAGAGAAAGTAACTGATTTGGAAGATGTCATTCATTAAGGACAGTGTCACTGTCTGAGGCTCCCATCAATTAGCATTGCGACTGATGTTGTGAAACTAGCATGGTGTGTAATTCTGTGATAAGTGCCTTCTAGCATTAAACTACCTAAGATCTGAAACGTGATTTGTTTTCTTTGCTGTATTTTTGTGATCCTATCACCTTTAAAACATGTTTTAATTGTTTACGGGTCTATTTCCTCAGAGATTAAGACAGTGTCTTTTGGCACTCAAATCTCAATGCCTAGCACTAAGATCTTCGGTGGGTTTTGATGTTGTTGTTATTTTATTTTGTTTTTAGTTCCCTGATAAGGGAGCCAGTAGCACTAAGATCTTAAGGGCAAGTAGCTGAAAAGTTCTTGGCATGTGGAAAAACATGCCCCTTCCTGATCTAGTCAGACAAGATGCCTTGATTTCAGACCATTGTCCAAAGATTATATGCTTGTAGGAAGTAACTATATTGAAGGGACTTCTACAAGCTGGCAGGGGTGGTGCTATGGTGTGAAGATACTTCCCAGAATGTTAACTTTAACTTGTATTTTACTGGAATTAGTAAGTGGGGGGGAGAGATTCCCCCACCCAGCACAAAAATGATAAATATGTGAGGTGACTCAGCATGAATTGAAGGGATGTGGCTCAAGTGGTAGAGTGCTGGACTAACAAGCGCCAAGAACTTGAGTTCAAACCTCAGTACTGCCAAATAAGTAAATAAATAAACAAAACTTTATCATCCCACAAATGTGTACATATATGAAAGCATCATATTGTGACCGGTGAATGTACGATTATTATTTGGCAGTTTAAAAAGGTCAGGCATGGTGGAACAGGCTTCTAAAACAGCACCTAGGATAGATTGCTTGAGGCCAGGCTAAGCTACATAATGACACTGTCCCCAGAACTTAATATTACTAATAATGAATACAACAATTTACTAGAATAGACTTTAAGAAGAGCCCTTACCCCTTTCATCATTTAAAATTACTATGAAGAGCAGGGCATCAGTGGCTCACCTCTGTAAACCTAGCTACTCAGGAGGCTGAGATCTGAGGATCATGGCCAGGCAAGGAAAGTCCGTGAGACTCTTTATCTCCAATAAACCACTAGAAAACGGAAGTGATGCTGTGCTCAACTGGTACAGCGCTCACCCTGAGCTGAAGAGCTGAGGGACAGCACCCAGGCTCAGAGTTCAAGCCCCATGACCGCCAAAAAAAAAAAACAAAAATTAAATGAAGAAACATAATCTAATAAATTCTTAATTTTAAACACTAAATCTGACTTTATCTTAGACTTCACAGTTTCTCAAAGTGTTGAGAAATAAATTTTGTGCTTTACAAATTACTCAGTTTGTAGAATTTATTTATTTTGGGTCGGGTCGTGGGGCCTGAACTCTGGGCCTGGGCGCTGTCCCTCAGCTCTTCAGCTCAAGGCTAGCGCTCTACCACTTGAGCCACAGCGCCACTTCCGGCTTTTTTCTTTTTTGCTATGTGATGCTGAGGAATCGAACCCAGGGCCTCAGGCATGCAAGGCAAGCGCTCTACCACTGAGTCACCTTCCCAGCCCAAGTTTGTAGAATTGTTATTACCAGCCTAATGCATTAGGACAGCAGGTAACCTGACATTTATAGTTTTCTCCCTCCTGAGAAGCACCACATTCACAAACTCTAGAGATGTCTCCACACATCATTTCCAGTCAGCCTTCTACCTCTTACCCAGTACAAATCAAAATCCATCTCCTGGAGCTGGGTTAGAGCTGGGTTAGAGGGGTGGCAAGACTTGTGAGGTGGAGCCAGAAACATCAAGAGTTCAAGGTCAGTTAGTGCTACAATAACAAGACTGTTTCAGAATTAAGACCAAACAAAACTCATGACCCAATTCAATCACAGCTTCCTCCTTTTATAATTTACCTATCTCTTGTGGAAAATTAATCAAAGGGAAGGAAAGGAAATTTATTGAACACCTCAGTTATGCTGGTTACTAAGACTTGAATTTCCTGCCTTTAAAAAAATAACTAAATGAATGACTAATTGCTTCATTTGACTAAAAAATTCATTTGAAAAAAATTGAAACAAACATAAAAAGCACTGCAGTTAAAACAGTAATTTATCCAAGTAACTGATTTCAACCCAGTTGGTAATTTGCCAAAGTACATCTCTTTCTATGACTGTACAAATATTTTATTCATCATAGATCTCACACTATCTTGAGCAAAAGCCTTAAGCATCAAAGGTATTTAATAAATATTTGCTGAGGGAATGATTTGAATGGAGCCATACAACATTTGCAGCAAAGTAAAATCGTGTAGTGAATGTGAATTTTTAATCTGCTATTCACTAGCAGTAAATGGTTGAGCCTGAGTTTTCCTCTCTCCATATAGTTCTGTATGATCCAATACAAACTTATGGGTGAAGTCTCAAAGTTTGCTTTAAGATTTTCCTAAATTTCCATTAGACCCAAACCCAGTTTATACTGTTTTAGATATGCAATTAACTCCAATCAAATTGCAGAACCTTCATTAAGGTAATACTAGGTACCTTTTTTTCAAGGTACCCTTGTACAGCTCTCTTAATATAGTCCTGCTTACACAACAGTAGATATTTATTATCCTGATTTTTGTATCTAGCAATAACTATGTTTACATTTCCTTCCTATAAAAACTGAGTGAGCATGCACAGATGGCTCACACCTCTCCTCGTTACAAAGCTGAAATGGGAGGATCAAGGTTCAAAGCCAGCCAGACAGTTAGATCCTAGAGACGGTTATCTCTTACTAACCAATAACAAAAAAAAGCCGGAATTGGAGATGTAGCTCTAGTGGTAGAGCACCAGCCAGCCTCAAGAGGAAAAAAGCTAAGCAAGAGCACAAAAAAAAAAAAAGAGAAGGAAGGAAGAGAAGGAGGGAGGGAAGAGAGAGGAAAGAAGCAAGCAAGCAAGGGGAAAAAAACTGAAACAGGACATTGGGAAACAATACATTTTATCTCAATATATAATAAAAACATAAAATGAAGGACAAGGATAATAATCTGATGTATAATATTGATAAACTTGAAGATTTTGAAAAGCATTTATATGTTCAAATATAGTGCTCCTCAAATCAGATAATGAAATAAAACTGAACAAATGTAAAACAAGTATTTGTAATATTTAACTTTGGCACACACGAACACAGTTTAACTTTACTAAAACCAAAGGCTAAAGGGAGAGTTATTAGGTAAACAATGTAAATTATTCTTACTGTCTTTTTGAATTCCCAAGTTCCATAATGCCTTCAGAAAATGAATCAGGTTGATGAGAAGCACCAGAAATAAAAGATGATGAAATAATCTCGCTTAGTAAAAAGAAAATCAATAGGCTATGGAGTCCTGAAAGCCAAGAAATTAGTAAAAGAAAGTGATGGACTATATCAAATGGAGTTGATGGGTATAATCACAAGAGGACTAGAAGACTAGACAAGTGGTTCAAACCTGTTATCATAGTTTCTCTAGAGACTGAGATCTGAGGGCTGAGGTCACCTGGCCCTGGCTTGGAAAAGTCCATGAAACTCCCTTTTGTGGTTCAAATGGTAGAGCACCAGCCTTGAGAGTAAAAGGTAAGAGACAGTACCTAGGCCCCAAGTTCAATCCCCAGCACTCACTGTCTCAATTCTCTGTCTCTGTCTCTGTCTCTGTCTGTCTGTCTGTCTGTCTCTCTTCTCTCTCTCTCTGTCTCTCTGTCTCTGTCTCTGTCTCTGTCTCTGTCTCTGTCTCTGTCTCTCTCTCTCTCACACTCACACACACACACACACACACACACACACACACACACACACACACGGACTAGAGAGTATCTGTTAGATACCACAACACAATGTAGGTCCCTGGTAATCTTGACAACAGAGGGCTCTGGAATGTGGGGGTGTGTATCTGATTAGGACATACGCAAGAAAGAATAGGAGGAAAGGGTTTCAAGACCTTGAAGTTTTATTGCAAAGTAGAGTACAGAGATGAGGGCAGTAGGGTAGGAAGACTAGTCAAGAAAGCGATTTTCCTATGGTAACAATATGCTTGTATGCTGATGGCAGTGATCCAGTAGGGAGGGAAAACTACTGATAAAGGAATGAAGAAGGGAGATTTTTTAGAAGGCATGTCCTTGAGGGCCAAAAGGGCTGGAATCTAGTGTACAAGTGAGAGGACTTGGATAAGAGATAATTATTTATGCAAGGGAAGGGGAGGCAGAATTGTTGGCCAAAGACCAGAGATAAATGGGT